GTAGTTTTAAAGTTTTTTAAAAAGGGATGCTGTGGCTCAGTGGCTAAGACGCTGAGCTTGTCGATCAAAAGGTTGGCAGTTCAGCGGTTCGAATCCCTAGCTGGCATAACTCCAAAAGCGCACGGAACGCTGTTACCTTTCCACCAAAGGTGGTCCCTATTTTTCTACTTGCATTTTTTACGTGCTTTCGAACTGCTAGGTTGGCAGAAGCTGGGACAAGTAACGGGAGCTCACCCTGTTATGCGCACTAAGGATTCGAACTGCTGAATTGCCGACCTTTCGATCGACAAACTCAGCATCTTAGCCTCTGAGCCACCGGATCCCTTTTTTAAAACTTTAAAACTATAAAACAACTTTAAAATTTTAAAAGAACTTTAACACTTTAACATAACTTTAAACTTTAAAACAGCTTTAAAACTTTAAAACAACTTCAAAACTTTAAAACAACTTTAAAAGAATTTAAAAACTTTAATTCACTTTTTATTCAATTTTAATTCCATTTTCAGCTATAAAAGCTGCATGGTGAAATGGTGTTGCCTCCAAATACAGCATCGAGATTGGCGGCTGAGGGCCATCCTGGTGATGGGATAAATCCTTCACAGGACTTATGGGACACGGCATGTGGCCACGGAAGGTTTTATGTCATAAGCAGCTTTATCTTCCACCATTTTTCCTAGTCTCACAGAATAGCTGCCTCATGGTGTATTGTCCTCAAGCATTAATCTAGCTGTCAGACAGCCCAGGACAAATGCCAAGGAACCCCAAGACTTCCGTATTTCCTAACAGCTGGAAAACCACGTTTTGACAGGAAAGAGATGATTTTTCCCTGAGGCTTAGCCTTCCTTCAACCTCTGATTGTGAGGTGGAGAATAAGGTTTGGAATTGGCAGCTTCATTGCAACCATTCATTAATAAAATGTTGTATAATATTTCAGGTGACTACACGAGCACATGCATTGTGAGTGAGCTTGTATGGCATTCTTCGCATTCTTCAATTATGCGATTAAATTCTTTTCAAAGCAAACATCCTCAAGTCACCTACTGAGAATTAAAGACTGACTTCCAAGTAAAAAACGCCCAAATATTTTTATAATAAATCACATGTCAAACAGCCACATCCTGATTTCAAGCTTCCCACATGCACTGGGTCTGTTTATCCGAGAATGCCTGGATTAGATATTTTTATTATTATTATTATTATTCAAATGGATAAACTGTATCTAAACAATTTCAAAGATACAGTCTATCATCCAGTGAAAATTTTGCAAATCTTATGTTTGCAAAAGCCTTGGAAACATGGCCTCCATAGTCTATGCACTTCTGTGACTTTGTCCCTGTTGAGAGAAGCTGTAGAAATGCCATATTTGGTTTGGTTCTGCAACCAAACAAGACAGACACAGACTTCAGAGGATAATTAGAACTGCAGGAAAAACAATGGCTACCAACCTGCCTTCCATTGAGGACTTGTATACAGCACGATTCAAAAAAAGGTTTGTGAAAATATCTACAGACCCCTCACATCCTGGACATCAACTGTTTCAACTCTTACCCTCAAAACAATGCTGTAGAGTACTGCACATCAGAACAACTAGACACAAGGAGAGTTTTTTCCCGAACGCCATCACTCTGCTAAACAAATAATTCCCTCAACACTGTCAAACTATTCACTAAGTCTGTACTACTATTAATCTTCTCATTGTTCCCATCACTCATCTCCTTCCATTTATGACTGTATGACTGTAATTTTTTTACTTGTATCTTTATTTATTTATTTATTTATTTGTTTGTTTGTTTGTTTGTTTGTTTGTTTGTTTTGTATCCCGCCCTTCTCCAGCAGGACTCAGGGCGGTGAACAGCCATGGTAAAACATAACATATAAAATTTAAAAGCAGTTTTTAAAAACATTAAATAATTTTGGCTATCCATTTAAAACAACCCGGATTAAAACCAATTACAAATTAAAACCGAGGGGATGGGATCAAGCCAGCCCGGCTAGGTGAAAGAGATGTGTTTTCAGGGCCCGACGAAAAGTCCGGAGGTCGGAGATCACTCGTATCTCTGGGGGTAGATTGTTCCAGAGAGTAGGTGCCGCCACAGAGAAGGCTCTCCCCCTGGGGGTCGCCAGCCGACATTGTCTGGCCGACGGCACCCTGAGGAGTGCCTCTCTGTGGGAGCGTACTTGCCGGTGGGAGGCTATTGGCGGCAGAAGGCGGTCTCGTAAATACCCCGGCCCTAAGTCATGGAGCGCTTTAAAGGTGGTCACCAACACCTTGAAGCGCACCCTGAAGACCACAGGAAGCCAGTGCAGCTCGCGCAGGAGAGGTGTCACATGGGAGCGCCCCGTCGCTCCCATAATCCCCCGCACGGCCGCATTCTGGACCAACTGGAGCCTCCGGGTGCACCCTAAGGGAAGCCCCATGTAGGGAGCATTGCAGTAGTCCAGACGGGAAGTGACGAGTGCTTGAGTGACCATGCGTAGGGAGTCCTGATCTAGAAAGGGACGCAACTGGCGTATCAGGCGAACCTGATAAAAAGCCTCCCTGGCCACGGCCGTCAGATTTATATTTATATTGATTGTTTCCTAGTAAGATTTGACTGCTTATTTGTACTCTATGACTGTCATTAAGTGTTGTACCTTATGATTCTTGACGAACGTATCTTTTCTTTTATGTACACTGAGAGCGTATGCACCAAAGACAAATTCCTTGTGTATCCAATTAAGGCAGAACGTAAAGTGAAATTGAATATAAGAGTGAAATAATACGGGGTCAGCCTAGATGACCTCTGAAGGGACCCTTTAACTAGTAAATATAAGAGACAAATGCTGGGTTCAAAAAGTTAAACCGCAAAGTTACGCACTATTCTACAGTTGGAGAGTTCAAGAAGTCAAACCACAAGAATTAACTAACCTTCCTGTTCAGGAAATAATGGGAAGAGGGAGAGAGCCTAGCAGGTAGGAGGTTTATTTCACATTTCCTGTTTTTTGTTACTATAAAGATACGTGTCTTAAAGTAGGTCTTTTGTTCAGAATGTAAAACAGAATGCATGTTTGAACTTCTTGGCCAAAATAAATAAAAGCTTTTTTCTGATCTCGAAATTCAATTCATTCATTTATTTTTCTGCAACACAATCACACTTGGCTAATAAAATTCTATTCTATTCTATTCTATTCTATTCTATTCTATTCTATTCTATTCTATTAATTTTTTCCCAAACAGTTTTTTTCTAATATATATTCCGTAATACTAGTCTTTTTTTAGTGCATATAGTTTGATATTGAATGTAGGTAATTGTGACAGTTCACATTCTAAGCCAGTGTTTCTTAAAATATGGTTCTCCCTGAGACCCTCAGGGGCCAGCAAAAAATCAAAAAGATTTGTCTTATGTTGAATATATTTGCATTTTAGAAACATGTTCACTTTTTTCATTTTTTTGTTAAAAATATATATAATTTTTTCATGAAAAATATGCTAATATCTGATCTGTTTAATATTGTTATTTTTAAACATACAAACATGCGAATGATTTTTTAAATGTTATCTAATTCTGGGTTTTATTTAATTGACCAAACTAAGTAACAATTTTAATTAGCAATTTTATGATGTTTGTGTGTCTATATTTTTCTTGACTGTACACCGCCTTGAGTCCTACGGGAGAAAGGCGGTATAGAAATATAATAAATAAATAAATAAATAAATAAATATTAGGACCCAGATTGTTTGGGGGCAAAATGCCAACATCTTAAACCGCTTAAGAGAGGGCTATGAAGCAGTATATAAGTCTAAGTGCTATAGGGATGAGGCAATAAATAGTCTATGAATGCATCAGTTTTAATTTTGAATATTGATTACAAAAAATAATCCATACCAACAAAATCTCTTTTGCGCTTCTCCGTTATTTCTAAAAGTGGGAATATTGTCTTGGCTTGAGAGCAAAAAATTTAAGTAAGACTGCGCTTACTTAAATTCTTTGCTGAACGATTGCTGGTGCTTGAATGAAGTCCACAAAATGAATGCATTAATCTCCGTTTTGTTAATCCCTTTATCTGACTTTATTCAAACCCCTAATGAAGCAGAACACATTGCTCTTTTGGAGGTACATCCTATTAAATTTAATAGGGCATAAAATGCAAAAAAAAAAAAAATACTATTAGGAGGGTGGGCTTTTATTGCGTTTACTCTTTGAATATTGGTGTTTTTTTTAATTTTTGTAAGCCGCCGTATAAATTCTCTATAAATAAGTAAATAAACACAAATATTAGATCCGAGTAGGTTAGGCGTAGGGGATTCTACCAGAGGTGAAATCCAAATTTTTTTACTACCAGTTCTGTGGGCGTGGCGTGGTGGGTGTGGTGTGGAATGGTAGGCGTGGCTTGGTGGGCATGGCAGGGGAAGGATACTGCAAAATCCCCATTCCCACCCCACTCTTGAGGGAAGGATATTGCAAAATCTCCATTCCCACCCCACTCTGGGGCCAGCCAGAGGTGGTATTTGCCGGTTCTCTGAACTACTCAAAATTTCCGCTACCGGTTCTCCAGAACCTGTCAGAACCTGCTGGATTTCACCCCTGGATTCTACTAAAGACATAATAAATTTGAATTGTAAAGTCCAGGGGTCTCCAAACTTGGCCACTTTAAGACTTGTGGACTTCAACTCCCAGAATTCCTCAGCCAGCAAAGCTGAGGCGGAATTCCTCAGGAACTCCAAAGGAATTCTGGGAGTTGAAGTCCACAAGTCTTAAAGTGGCCAAGTTTGGAGACCCCTGGCTAAAGTCAGTCGCTTTTTTAATGACGTCACTTGCATCGCACTTTCGCGTCCCTCCTCCGAACGGGAGAACACACATTCAATTGCAACGCAGCGCAACATCCGCCCGCGACAAAAATGGCCGCTTTTCCCTGGCTGGCTTTCCCCTGTCGGAGGGGAAGGAGCGGAGAAGGAGCCATGCCCGCGACAAACATGGCGGACGGAACCCCCCCCCCATACACACGCGTAAAACGTGAGACCGTAGGCTTAAGATGGCGGCTGAACGGCTCGCGCATGCGCCCTGAGAAGGAGCTGAGTTTTCCAGGGCCGCTGGAGAAACAAACTTGAACGAGGTCGGAGGAGGCTGAAACCGTCTTGGGTCGGTCAGGAGAGGAGACGAAGTGAGGGGGTGCTTTCCGTAAGGGCGGCGTGAATGGGAAGCGGGTGGGTGGGTGGGACACCGGCGAAGCTCTTGCGGATAGGCCGCAATGATTGGGGGGGGGGGTTGGCATCCCTGGTGCTTCTCCTGGTGGCCTCCAGTCCTTTATTTTAGCTCAGGAAAGGACCCTGGACTTTCTCTTCTCGGCGCTAGCCGGATATGTGGGACCATTCTCCGCAGCGCCCTTCCCCTGAGGGGTGGGACCATTGGGGCCCCCGTTGATACCCTAATGAGGGGTGGGGACGATGGGATCTGTAGTCCCTGGGTTAAAGAGCACAGGGCAAGGCGTCTGAAGGAAATGTGTAGGGCGTTGGCTCCACACCTGGAAGTGGTGCCAGCCCACCTCTGGGGGGGGGAGGGTTTCCTGTTCCACGACTACAAACCCCATCCTCCCCAGCCCACACGAGGTACCAGTGGGAGCCGCAGTGCTCCCACACCTGGGAAAGACGCTGCGGAGAATGGGACCCCCCCATTGTCCTACACATCCGTGGGAGGGGGGTTTCTGTTCCACAACTACAAACCCCATCATCCCCAGCCCACACGGGGTACCAGTGGGAGTCGCAGTGGTCCCACACCTGGGAAAGACGCTGCGGAGAATGGGACCCCCGTCGTCCTACACATCCATGGGGGGGAGTGTTCTGCTCCATGACTACAAACCCCATCCTTCCCAGCCCACACGGGATACCAGTGGGCTCCACACCTGGGGGGTGGAGAGCAACGGAGAAGTTTCATCTTGTTTAAAGGTGTTTTTTTTTCTCACCTAACTCTTCTTCTCTTCGGCAGGTCTTGCAAGATGTCCGAAGGAACTTCAAGTGGCGATCCCGAGAGTGGCCGGCCCTCGCTTCCTCCTGCTCGAGGATTAATAGGGAGAAGGACTCCCGCGCCCATCTCGGCAGGCCGCCTGCCTTCCATCCGCTCCCGAGATCTTACCCTTGGCGGGGTGAAAAAGGCAAGGAAGGATCTCTTGCTAAGGAAGTATCTTGCAAGAAGTATTTTTTTATTCCTAGGATGCATGTTAGTCTGTTTGGTGTGGTGGTGAACGCACCAAAGCCAAAAAAACAGAGACCGTGAGTTCTAGTCTTGCTTGGGTACAAAGCCAGCTGGATAATCTTGGGCCAGACCCTCTCGCTCAGTCTTAGGAAAAAGGCACTGGCAGATCCCTTCCGAAAAACCTTGCCAAGAAAATTACATGGACCAGCAGCAATTGCCAGGAATTAACACTCCAAAAACACACATTCACACAATAGGACAAGTTAAGGCTGCGTCATTTTTGCAACTTTCTGACAAGCAAAATCCACGGGGAAATCGGGTTCACTTAACAACTGTGTTATTAACTTAACACCTGTGGCAAGAAAAGTGATAAAATGAGAGAAAACTCACCAGCAATAGAAATAGGTGCAGAGGTGGTTCGTGGCCTTAGAACAGAGTCAGAAGATCATTGAGAGGTGGACAGCTCAGCGGTTCAAAACCCGAGAGCTAAGCCGTGTGATGGAATGAGCTCCCGTCAATTTGTCCCAGCTTGGGCCCACCTAGCAGTTCGAAAGTATGCGAATGCAAGTAGATAAATAGGTACCACTTCGGTGGGGAAATACTGGCGGACATGAAAGAAGCTTCCTCGAGCATCCCCTGGACAATGGTGATGTCACCAGCATGTCAACCCAGAAAATGCCTTGCTAAGCTCTTCCGACATGAACATAGTAGTAGCAACAGATATTTTGGGCTCAGTTGTGGTCATAAGTCGACGGCTGCCTGTATGGGCTCAGGGTAGGGATGGCAATTGTGGCAGCTACATGGAACATTGGGGGGATTAAGGGTGCAGTGGGTGCAACAGTGTTGAAAAATAAGTAGGGCTACATTACATAGGCCAGTGATGGCTAACCTTTTTGCCGTCGTGTGCCAAAAGCGGGGGGAGCATGGGGGGGTCACGTGTGTGTCCACACTGATAATTCAATGCGCCCCCCGCGCATTCGTGTGTGACCCACCCCCCACCCCCCGCTTTTGGCCTGGTGCGCCTGGTGCGCCCGGTAGGCCCATTTTTTGCCCTCCCCAGGCTCCAGAGGCTTTTTTTGGAGCCTGGGGAGGGCGAAAACAGCCTTCCCCACCCCTCTGGAGGCCCTCTGGAGGCTGGAAACAGCCTGTTTGCCAACTTCTGGTGGGCCCGGAAGGCCTGAAAATCAGCTGGCCGGTGCATGCATGCGTGCTGGAGCTGAGCTAGGGCAATGCTCGCGTGCCCACAGATATGGCTCTGCGCGTGCCATAGGTTCGCCATTACAGACATAGGCAAACAAAGTTTTCTCCCCTCTCTTCCCTCCCAAGTTGGAGGTAGAATTTTAGGACTTACCTAACCATTGCAAACTTGAGGCTGCACGATTATGTTCGCCTTTTTCTTTCAAAGTGGTAAACAATGTGTTGATTTGCAGGGTTTTTTCCCCCCAGAAGTGTAAGAGAAAGTGCACGGATTATATGTGCCTTTTTTTGAGATAGGAGCCTCTTACATTTTTCTATAGTTTCCAAGCTTATTTCTGTGGAGAACAGTTTTGCTCTTTTTACTGCACGTAAAAGTAGGGGTGAAATATTGATTACGTGGAACTCTTCTAATGTTTTGGTTCTCCTGTGAAAGCATCAGTTTCTGTGCCATTCCTTGTTCCAGGCCTCATGTGACATGAGAGTTGATGAGTTATTTAGCTCAGAGAGGCAGTTCATCACCAAATCTCCATTTAGTTAAAAAAAACAAAACAACCTAGAATAATAAAGCTAAGCATGCTGACTTTTAATTACAAGATAAGGACACTTCTTTTCAAGAAAAGCAGGATCTCTTTATTTCTAAATATTTGGCACAGATGTTATCTGCATGAACATAGATTGCTATGGTTGGCAAAACCTGTCCCACTTTTGGTCATTATTAAGTTAGCCATGAGGAATGCTAACAAACGTGAGAGATGGGAAATTGCTGATTTGGGAGTTTTATTTCATTAAACGTTTTATCTCATTCAGTTTAATAGCTGCGATACCTATTAACTTTTAAAAAATAGAAACAGGCTATTCTTTGGATTCTAAATGTTCCTTTTGTTTCTTTGAATTGCAATAACCAAGCTATCTGGAGGATTGTGCTATTTATATCAAGGACTTTTGATTCTATATGTAAACACTGCATTTTTATGATATAGAGTGGTCAATTTTACTTGATGTCTTCTGACTGCTGGTATTCAAATATTTTGAGATGTTGGCATTTGTTTTGGAAAGAGAACAAAGAGAACATGTCAATTTTGATTAAGATGAAAGCATACCTTGAAGCCAAGAGCTTCATACTGTACTGTTAAGGAATTCAAAATATTTGCGGCCCCTAAATACTGAAACATTTTAAAAGAAGCATCTTCTCCAAGCAATGCAACTGTGAAGAATGCTAAAAAAATATTTTCTTCTCTCAGGAACGTGAGAATCTCAAGCATATTTATATATTTTATTGTAAGCTACCTAATGTCACCTCAAAATGGGATGAGTAGCTATATAAATCAAATCAAATAAATATTGGAGTTTCAGTTTTAACACACACTGTACTCTGAGAAATGTCATAAAGAAAACATTGTGCTTAATCTATGCTTGTTCTCTTTTCTTCTTTTTTTTTTAGAAAACCTTTGCCCCTAACATCATTAGCAGGAAAATCAAAGAAGAGTAAGTTCCCTTTCAATGCTGTTTTCATGGAATGTATTAATATAAATGAACTGCTTAATGATCAATAAAGCACTTAGAAGACCTGTCTTAATATGTGGTTTCAGCCAGGGGTGGATTTCATTTGATTTAAATCAAATAAATTTAAATCACGATTTAAATGAAACGATTAAATCACGATTTAAATTTAAATTAAATTAAATCAAGTTGATCTAAATCACTAGTAAAAAGGCTTGATTTAAATCAGCGCGATTTAAATCATAATTTTTAAAGAGCAACTGTCATCTCTGCTACACCTTTGACCCACTGTTGACTCACCAATAGTCCCAGTGTTGCAGAATATACAGCCTCATGCTACATAACTAAGCTCCATTTCATGCTGAATAAACTAAATTATTTATGTATCTTAAATAGAAAACTATCTTTAGATAGTTTTTTTTACTTCAAAAGCATTTTATTAAAATTAATTTGATAAAAATAAAAAAAAATCTGATTTAAATTTTAAAAAACCAACTTTTTTTAATCAATTTTTATCTACCCTGGTTTCAGACTTAACTTAAAGTTATGTTCAGGTTTATAACGCTTGTTAGATCTCAGTTACTCTAAAGCCTTCCCTTGTGTACTATCTCCTGAGATGCTATATTTTAACATTATTTGGACTGTTGATCAAACCTATAATTTTGTTCTAAGGGCTTATTTGGTCAATTTCTTGAGTTATTATTTGGAGGGAAATGAGCATACAGTAGTTTAAAATCTTACTGCCCTTACCGAAGAATAGTTCCTGCACTGTGCTTATCGGCTGTCTTATTTGCTCTCTTTGGATAATATAGTTGTAGCTTTTTATGCGTGGATGGGAGGGGTAGGTAATTAAACTGTAGTGTGTTTCTCATTTGCCCAGGCAACCAGTTGTTAATAAACAATTAAAACTACGTGGTGATTTTATGGAAAGATACAAACCTTTAGAATGCTTGAGTCTTTTTTCACAAGTTGTTTTTGTTGATCTTTTCATTTAAATATCGTATTTTTCAGAGTATAAGATGCACTTTTTTCCCTCCTAAAAGAGGCTGAAAATTTGGGTATGTCTTACATTCCGAATGTAGCCCTGTGAGGTGCGCAAAATGGCTTCCTGGAACAGCTGCTGGCTTCTCTTACCCCTTCCGCGCTTTGCCTACTTTAGTCACTGGAGCTCCTTCCGAGGATCAGATGTGCTTTTGAAGCTGTTTATCAGCCCCAACACGAGCGAAGGGATCTTCCGTGCTTTGCCTGCTTTTCTAATTGCTGCTCCCTCCGACAATCAGCTGTGCTTTAGAAACACAGCCCCAACCTCAAAACCAGCGAGCGAACTAATGTGCTGGGACTAGCCAGATGAATACCCCCATTTTCCTCCCCAAAAACTAAGGTGCGTCTTATACTCCGAAAAATGTGGCAGTTTCTTTCTTTTTCCTTTCCTTATCTTCTTTTTTCCTCCCCTGTCAAAATGCAACTTTCAGCTATCTATTCCCATCAATTCTCCCTGCTCTCTGACCCCTCCTAATTAACATATGAACCTTTTGGTCACAGCCTCCATCTTCAGTATGAAATTCTGTCACAGGAAGTCCTATCCTTCGCTCTTCCTGCATGTCTGAAAGAGGTTCAGTCATGAAATCCTTATAAAGCTACTGATGCAAAGGGCCTTTTGGATATTTTGGAACCTTTAAGTCCTAAAGACAAAGGGATGCGGTAGTACAGTGGCTAAGACGCTGAGCTTGTCAATCGAAAGGTCGGCAGTTCAGCGGTTCAAATCCCTAGTGCCGCGTAATGGGGTGAGCTCCCGTTCCTTGTCCCAGCTTCTGCCAACCTAGCAGTTCGAAAGCACGTAAAAAATGCAAGTAGAAAAATAGGGACCACCTTTGGTGGGAAGGGAACAGGATTCCGTGCGCCTTTGGCGTTTAATCATGCCGGCCACATGACCACAGAGACGTCTTTGGACAGCGCTGGCTCTTTGGCTTTGAAACGGAGATGAGCACTGCCCCCCTAGAGTTGGGAACAACTAGCACATATGTGTGAAGGGAACCTCTACCTAAGTCCTAAAGACAGAGGTCTGGCAGCTCTCATTGAGCAATTGAATACATTTGTTCTGGGTTTTTTTTTTTTGTTTTGTTTTTTCTCGTTAGGCCCAAGGAGGACCTTTCTGCCCTGAAAGAGAAGAAGGACCGCGATCGAGATCGGCAACGGGAAAGTCATGGACGAGGCAGAGGGAGGCCAGAAGTTATTCAGTCGCACTCCATCTTTGAGCAAGGCCCAGCAGAAATGATGAGGAAGAAAGGTTTGGGAATGATTAAGTTGGGGCAGTCCAAGGGTGACTGTTTGGGCTTTTAAATTTTCACTCATCAAGCTTTCCTTGAGACTCTTAACCCGCTGGTCCCCATCCTACCAGCTTCAGCCATCCCAGTAGACTTGTGGAATAGGATGGGATCAATTAGTAAAATCGGAATGTGTTGTATATGATAGAAAGCTTTTAAGTAACTGTGATAAAGTACTTAGTGCATCTTGAGGGTTGGCGTAAAAATCCTCAGCATCAGAGCTGGTTGGGCAAGTCCATCAGAGAGGGCAGAGTTCAGTGGGGGTTATTTGGGATGGACAAGATTCTCTGTGACATCAACTCTTGACACCTATAGATTGGATTCCTATTTTTCTGGCTGGTAAAAACCGCCAGAATGTAACAGGAAGCTGGGTTAGGCTTGGTATTTAATTCGTCCTCGGGTGAACGGGTGATGCTTCTCTACCCTAAAACTCTTGGCCAAACCAGATATCATGGAAAACGATTAATCTGTTTCCAGCATGTTGCATGAACAGACCTGGTCCACTGATCATACCAGTAGTGGCCAAAATTGTGGAAACATTTTGGGAAAAGGGTATTTTTGAGGTTGATGGCTAATAACACCACTTTTTCTTTGAGTTTCAAGATAATCCTGTTCCACTGCTGGAATGGCCTGGGAATAGTCCAGACCTTAACCCAATGGAAAATCTATGGAGTCCACTAAAGAAACTTGTTAGTCAGAAGTGACCCAACAGTAAAACCCAGTTAATAGAAGCAATCCTACATTCTTGATTAAATTATCTTTCCATTGATATATAACTTTATGGTACTATTCCGAAAAAAGTGGTGTTATTAGCTAGTTTTAAAAAATACACTTTTCCCAAAAGGTTTCTACAATTTTGGCCACTACTGTAAATTAACCATGATGTCCTCCAGAATCTTCTTTTTCCTTATTCCTTCTTGAGTTTTCTTCTCTCTCCTTGTTTGCATAAACACATATGTATCCATTTATGATTCTAATAAAGCCTTTTTTTAACTTATTTTTTTAATGAAACGCCTGGCGTGGGTGACTTGGCCATCCAGGATCTCCTCGGCTGTGCACCATAAAGCTGCTGTCAAGTTTCCGAAAGATGCCCTAATTAATTCATGAGCCATGATCCAAACTTCAAAGGAAATATAGTCATTTATTAGGAGCAACATTCCGGCAATACTCGGATGCAGTTAGAACTGATCCCACATAGATTTACGTTCCCCTATGACCCTGTCTCTCCCCTCCTCTCTGGCCATGTCATAAATCACATTCTCCAATTACTCACTTTGGCTGGCTGTGAAACCTAACACCCTCCTTCTGATTGCAGTCAGGAAGAATGTATGGAATTCACTTCAGTTCTCCCTCCCTCCTGCTCATGACAACTTGAAAGCTTTGCAAGTTGACATCTGCATTATGAGAGGTGCCACTTGCAGTGATGCTACTCTTGCTTTTTGTGCAGGTACCTGGGATAAGTCTGTGGATATGTCCGACTTTGGCCCATCCCACATCATCAACATAAAGAAAGAGAAGAGGGAGACAGATGAAGAGACTAAGAAGATCTTGCGCATGTTGGAGAAAGATGACGTGAGTTTGAGAAGGGCCAAACTTGGAAGAACCATCTGTAAACTCCTGAAATAATATTTATTTATTTTATTTATTTAATTGGACTTATATGCCGCCCTATCTCCACAGGACTCAGGGCGGCTCGCAACAATAAACAAAACGAACAGACCGTTAAAAACAAAGTCCATGATAAAATTGACAAAAAATCCAATTAAACCCCATTAAGTTAAAAACCCCATCAGTCTAGGACGGCTAGATGAAATAGCCACGTTTTCAGCCCACGGCGGAAGGAGCGAAGGTCGGGGGCCACCCGGAGCTCCAGAGGGAGTTGATTCCAAAGGGTGGGTGCACCTACAGAGAAAGCTCTCTCCCTGGGGGGTCGCCTGCCGACATTGTCTGACCGACGGCACCCTGAGTAGGCCCTCCCTGTGAGAGCGCACTGGGCGATGGGAAGCTGTTGCTGGCTGCAGATGGCCGGCCAAATATAGACTTTATCCTCATAGGACTCAGCCTCTAAGGCAGTGTTGGCGAACCTTTTTGGCACCAGGTGCCAAAATGGGAGCACGCATACACGGCCAAAAACTGGGAGAGCAACCACCTATTGCGCATGCGCGCGCCGGGCAGATGATCTTCCGGTTTCCTGCACACACATGCACACCAGCCACTTGGTCTTCCGGTTTCTGACGTGTATGTGCGCGCAAAGAGCATGTGCCAGAAACTGGAAGAGTAGCCCCCCAGTGCTCTTGCGCGTGCCAGGAAGATGATCATCTAGTTTCTGGTGCAAGCACGTGCACCGGCCACCTGGTGGTTTGGTTTCTGGTGCTCCCGCACCACTTTTTTTTGGGGGGGGGGAGTAGTCCCATAAAATGATATATCAATGGAAAGATAATTTAACCAAGAATGTCATGCAATAACTTTTATGAAGGATGTGCTATTAGAATAGCAGTTACGGTATAAAGAAGAAAAGTGAAACACGTAGAAAAAAGGAGATATACAAAAAATATCACGTCAGTTAATAGTTGCGAATCTTTTAGCATGAATTACAGCCTTACAATGTCTTCCCATGGAGTGAACCAAGTCTTTTAGTTCTGCAGCTGTTCTGATGTGAAACCAAGATTGAATGATGGCTTCTATTAACTGGGTTTTATTGCTGAGTCGCTTCTGATTAACAAGTTTATTTAGTCGGCTCCATAGATTTTCAATTGGGTGAAGGTCTGGGCTATTCCCAGGCCATTCTAGCAGTGGAATAGGATTATCTTTTTTTTTTTTTAATTTGATTTATATGCCGCCCTTCTCTGGAGACTCAGGGCGGCTTACAATGCGTTAAGCAATAGCCTTCTTCCTTTTGTATATTTATACAAAGTCAGCTTATTGCCCCCACAATCTGGGTCCTTATTTAACCTACCTTAGAAAGGATGGAAGGCTGAGTCAACCTTGAGCCTGGGGAGATTCGAACCTGCAGTAATTGCAGGCAGCTGGTCTTAATAACAGGGTGCTTTAGACCACTGTACTACCAAGGCTCTCTGAAACTTTCCCCCCAAAAAGTGGTGTTATTAGCCATCAAACCTCACAAATACACTTTTCCCAAAAGGTTTCCACAATTTTGGCCAGTACTGTACATTAAAAAAGTAGGAACGATTTTTAAAAAAAAACCACATATCATTGTCCGGAGAACAGACTCTTGGGATAGCATGCAAAATAGTCTCCAGGAATGGTTCTCTTTTTTTTTTTAACCTGCCGTTTTCTCTCTCCTTTCTTTGCTTCCAGTTCCTGGATGACCCAGGCTTGAAAAATGACATTCGAAACAAGCCGGTTCAGCTGCCTCTGGCACATTCTGGTTGGCTTTTCAAGGAAGAAGGGGACGATCAGGAAGACGGCAAGCTATTGAACGCCAGCCATAAAGAGGAGGAGCTGGAAACAGGTGGATCTTCTTCAGTGAAAGGTAGGTAGGTGGGCTCAGGTTGATCTGGAACAGATGAGTGAGCAGCCTTGGAGGCCATCTTTTTCTTTGGATCTTCAGGGCCGCCACACTTAGTGCTGTGGGAAAGTGGGAAGGAGGTTGTATGCAGTGGTGGAATTCAAAATTTTTTACTACTGGTTCTGTGGGCGTGGCTTGATGGGCGTGGCAGGGGAAGGATACTGCACAATCCCCATTCCCACCCCATTCCAGCGGAAGGATACTGCAAAATCCCCATTCCCTCCCCACTCCAGGGGAAGGATACTGTAAAATCTCCATTCCCTCCCCACTCCAGGAGAAGGGTACTGTAAAATTTCCATTCCTTCCCCACTCCAGGGGAAGGGAACTGCAAAATCTCCATTCCCTCCGCACTCCAGGGGAAGGATACTGCAAAATCTCCATTCCCTCCCCACTCCAGGGGAAGGGGACTGCAAAATCTCCATTCCCTCCCCACTCCAGGGGAAGGATAAGGCAAAATCCCCATTCTCACCCCACTCCAGGGGAAGGATACGGCAAAATCCCTATTTCCTCCCCACTCCAGGGGAAGGGTACTGCAAAATCCCCATTCCCTCCCCACTCCAGGGGAAGGATAAGGCAAAATCCCCATTCCCTCCCCACTCCAGGGGAAGGATATTGCAAAATCTCCATTCCCACCCCACTCGGGGGCAAGCCAGAGGTGGTATTTGCCGGTTCTCCGAACTACTCAAAATTTCCACTACCGGTTCTCCAGAACCTTTCAGAACCTGCTGAATTTCACCCCTGGTTGTATGGAGTTGGTGGCCATAACAACATTCTTTTCTCTGGGAGTCAAGGACGTTCAGCCTGCACCTGGAGTGGTGTGATTGGGAGGCATCTCCAGTTGGGGCGGTGGATTGATTGAACCATGTGATGGACATGTGGGTGCAGGGGAAGGGACTTTGACTTTCCTTTGGGTGGGGAAAACCCAGGAGCTTTCAGATTTGGGTTCCCCCGCCTGTGCCCATATGACCTCTCTAATAAAATAGAACTTTGAGGAACCTCTTGCCTCGGAGTCTTACTTGGCTGGTGGTGTTACTCAGAACCCTGACAAGCAGATAAAGTGGGCATTTTGCAGCCCTGAAATTATATGAGGACCCTGTTCCCTCTTAATTTACTGCAAGAAGAGAAGAGTTGGGGCATGTATGATGGCAAGAGGCTACTAAGGGGACAAACCATGAGATATGGCTGTAGTCATTTAGTATTGTTGTGACCCTGACTCCCGAGCCTGTCCTAACAGAGGAAGAGGACTCAGAAGGTGATGGGGAGGAACTGATAAGGCCTCCCTCTCCAGGACCCTCCTCTCTGGCAATGCCTCAGGTTCCATCCGAAGGCCAAGAGGAACAGCCTGGGATATGCCAGGAGGAAAGCATATCGGAACAACAACAGATAGGGAGCGAGGATGATGAATCCTGGCTTGATCCCAGGCAGCGTCGGAGGGAGAAGCGTGCACAGCAACGAAAGAGACGTGGGAGGGCCATAGATTGAGCTGAGTCACTGAGCCACACCCCACAAGGAATAAAAGTGGGTGAGATTGCTCTTCAGGCTTTGTGACGTTCAAAGTTAAAAACCTGAGAGTCACATCGCGTTACCTGAAATCTGGCTTGTGCATATTTGGGCTGGACCTTGGCTAATTTCTTGCTTCGTGGATTACTTTTTGGTACTGAACCGGACTGAGGATAAACTCTCTTGCGAACTGTGAGTGGAAACTGACTTGGCAGGCATTTCGCAGTTTATTGCCAAAACTCTTATCTGCAAGAGTTTCTAGTCTGATTGCTTAATAAAATCTTGGCAGGCATGCCTGGTGGTGTGCTTGCCTGTGTGGGGAAGGGGGACAGAACAGGTATCCTGTCTCTCACTCATTCACTCTCTCTTTCTGTCAGTGAAAGAAGAACCCCACGATGAAGAGGAGACGCCATGCGCCCAGGCTCCAGCACCCACAAAAAACCCTCCTCCCTTCCCTCATGATGTCTCCCTGGCGGAACTGCTGCCAAAGTTGAGTCTTTCCAAGGAGGAAGAGCTACTCTTCCTGCAGCTGCCAGACACTCTCCCGGGACAGCCGCCCACACAGGACACGAAGCCGCTGAAAACCGAAGTGCAGAACGAGGATGGGCAGATGATGGTGATAAAACAGGAGAAAACGCAGGTACGGCTCCTGCTGAAACGAGCAGCAGGAATCTGCAGACGCTACTGCAGCGCATGGGGCGTTTGCGGCTGGAAACGGAGACCTGGAAGTCCGCTGGATGAAAGCCAGGATGTTGGCATTTTGGTAGAAAAATAACGGTGGTCTAACTGTTGGCTACAAATGTACTGTACTTTTTGGAGTATAAGACACACTTTTTCCCTAAAAGAGGGTGGAAATGTTGGTGTAGGATTGTAATTATGTTTTCAGGGAGAGCTCAGAGGGAGTTTCCAAATCCTCTAGTCCTGATTTCTCCCCAGCTCCTCCCTCAACTTGTCCACTTCTGTTTTTCCAGGAGACCAAGGAAGCGGAGAATACCTGCACCCTGGGGGACCTCTCAGAAGGGCAAGTGGGGAAGTTGCTGATCCGCAAATCGGGAAAAGTGCAACTTGTTCTCGGCCAGGTGACTCTGGACATAACTACGGGAACACCCTGCTCCTTTCTTCAGGTATGCCTTGCTCTTGTGGGATATGGCCTCCCTTCAAAGGCCACTTCAAATCCGAAGCGTTCAGAGGCTGTGTACCCGGGAACAGCAATTGCAGGAAACAAGGCAGCTAGAAAAGGACCGTCAAACTGCTGTTGAGATGATTTGGAAATATTTGTGTTCTTATAGGGCAGTAATGGCTAACCTTTTTGTCATTGCATGCCAAAAGTGCACACGCAATAACTCCTGTGCACGTGCCTGCACCCATAATGCGACCCCCTGCACCCCGACCCCTGTGCTTCCCCCCATCCCTGTGCATGCGCACGCAACTCCCTTCGCGCCCCCAGTGCATGCCTCCCTGCAGCCTCCTGGAACCAAAAACGAGTTGCGTGACCGCCCCACTCCTCGCACCCTCCGTGCACTCATCTCCCGCATGCCCTCCCACACACATGCGCAGCAGAGACCTGAAAATCAGCTGGCTGGCGGGAGCTGCGCGCAGTGGTGGGATTCAAATAATTTTAACAACCGGTTCTCTGCCCTAATGATTTCTTCCAACAACCAGTTCATCAAACTTCTCAGAAAGTTAACAACCAGTTTGTCAGGATTCGGTGTCGTCTCAAATAAACTGCATTTCAAACAAATAGTCCTTGATCAAAAACTTTCATTTATTAGGCACAACAATCAAAACTCAGACTCAGTTGCAGGCAACACTGACTTCCTGGTCCAAACCCTCCCTTTCCTTTCCCCACTGCTCTTCTTCTCATTGGCCATCTCCCAAGTCACTCTGCTGTTATCTACTACTTCAGCTCAAAGGAATTTCCCCCCTCCCAAACCATCCCCTAGGGGATAGTATCTCCAGGGAAATTAAGTAGGTGAAAAGTCAAGCGTCCTCTTGCCAGATGCCCCCACCTTCTCCTTCTTATGTCAGCACTGGAGTGAATGCAGCTTGGAGCGCTGGCACGGTTCTCCCGAAGGTGTGGTCTAGGGTGTGGTCTAGGCTTAGGGACTTCATAGCCATTAAGTACTGATGGGAGACCCAAAGGTGCTTTTTCAGGAGGCAACTGGACTTTCTTGTTTTGTCTTTTGAAGACGTTTCGCTTCTCATCCAAGAAGCTTCTTCAGCTCTGACTGGGTGGTGGGGAATGGAAGGATTGATATTCCTTGCAGACAGCTGGTCATTTGCATCCTTTTTAGAGGGTGATTAAGGCTACTTGGAGGTTTATCTGTGTCCTCAGGGTCACCTGAGTGGTACTCCTGGTTCCTGTAGTCTGCCATTTTTTTCCTCTGGAAATCTGTTCCTATTCCCACACCATTTAAAGGGTGTCCATCCCAAATTGTATGGCTAAAAGTCTGTAGAGATTCTCAGTCATCCAGATCATGGTGGTGGTCCCAAAGGCTGGCTTAACACTTTTAAATGTTTTTAACTGGTTTGTCATTGTTTTTAATTACGGGGCCAAATTTATATATATCTTTTTAATAGTATTTTAATGTTTGTATTTTATGTTTTTATTTGGCTGTACAACGCCCTGAGTCCTCAGGGAGAAGGGCGGTATATAAATTTGATATAAAATAAAATAAATAAAATAAATATGCTAGCATCTTTGGGACAACCATGACCTGGATGACTGGGAATCTCTATAGACTTTTGGCTGTTGGGAGAATCTTAATGGATTTGGTCCCATGCTCTTCCAACTGGCACCAGATATTTATTTATTTATTTATCTATCTATCTATCTATCTATCTATCTATCTATCTATCTATCTATCATCTATCTATCTATCTATCTATCTATCTATCTATCTATTTATATTTATATTTAAATTATTTAAATTTAAATAAAATTTATTTATTTATTTATTTATTTATTTATTTATTTATTTATTTATTTATTTATTAGTCCAATTTATATGCCGCCCTTCTCCATAGACTCAGGGCGGCTTACAATGCATTATAGCAATAGCCTGCATACTTTTTTTCTTTTCTTTTTTTTTTTGTATATACCTGCTTATTAGGGCTTTCGGGCCCCCCTAAGTGGCGGTGTTCTATACAAAATTAGCTTATTGCCCCCACAATCCGGGTCCTCAATTTACCTACCTCGAAAGGATGGAAGGCTGAGTCAACCTTGAGCCTGGGGAGATTCGAACTTGCACTAATTGCAGGCAGCTGGCAGCTAAGTGCTAGCACTTAACAGCACTTTAGTCCGCTGCACCACCGAGGCTCATTAGCTCTGACTTTGTCTGCAGGTTTTCCACAAAGCATCTCTTTAACTCAAGGGTGTCCAACCTTGGCAACTTTTAAGAACTGTGGACAGAGCATGGCTGGCTGGGGGGGTTTTGGGAATTGAAAACCACAGCTCTTCAAGATGCCAGGGTTGGACATCCCTGGTTTAAGTGGACAGCTAGAAATCATAGAGAAACCATATACATGCAAATACCCTTTGCAAAAAGAAAAGAAAAAAAAAAGAGTTAGGCACCAGAGCAGCGGTCACCAACTGGTGGTCCGCGAGAAAATTTTGGTGGTCCGCAGAAAAATTATTTGCATTTTTAATATTGCACTAAATCCTCAAACTACGGCCCCTGAGACAGATATGTTCAATGAACGTTTGTGTTGCTGCAGAGAGTCTCCCCCTTCAGGGTCTTTTTGTGTGGGTCGGAGGGGGACAGAAATTCTGACTTGGGGTCTGCTTTGGCCTCCTCGTGCAGAGTTTTGGGCGAAGGCTGGAGGGAAGCGGCGCTGGTGGCAAAGAGCCGGAGGATCTTGTTCCAATGGGACTGCATCATGGCCTGGAACTGGCTGACCATCTCAGACTGCTGAGCCTCCAGGTGCCAGTACCTGGCCTTGCACTCCCGCAGGTCTTCCCTCTACTTGGAAAGCCTATGCTCCTAGTCCTCTGTGAGGTGCTTCTGCTGAGCCTCCTTCTCGGTCAGATCCAATTTGAACTGAACTGTTTTGCCAATTCTTTCTCGTGGTGGCTGCTTAGCTCCAACGACTCCTTCCTGTTGGGGCCATAAGGAGCCCGGGCGGGGAGATGAGTTGGCCACACCCACCCAGTCACATGACCACCTAGCCACACCCACCCAGACGGTCATTAGGCAGATCATATTAGTGGTCCGCGGGATTTAAAATTATGAATTTAATGGTCCCTGAGGTCCAAAAGGTTGGTGAAACCCTGCACTAGAGAATGAAAAGTGATGACAGCTCCTTGCTCAAAGTCAGCATGGTGCCAAAACTAGGTTTGGATCAGCAGGAAAAATTCCTGGAACATCCAGGAATCAAAATAGAATAGAATCAATATAGAGAAATGATGCTCTAGGTTGAGAAATAATTATGGTAACGTCTTACTGGTACGGAAAAAAAAAGAATTCTTGTTTATTAATTTAAAAAAAAAAAAATACTCTGATATTATCAGTCCCGAGCTTTCAGGATAGAGCAGGTTTTTGTTTTTTCATTTTGCTCCGGCCTAATTTAAATGATTGGGAATTGTTTATATTTCTAAAGGGCTTTTGCAGGGGGGAATTCAGCAGATAGAGCACCTGGCTGAGACTTCCTACTGTTTCACAAAATCTGTTGCTTCCTCAGACCAGCAAAGGTTCCTGGATTAGGTCTTGACACTTATCGTATTTTTCGGAGTATAAGACGCATCCTTTTCCCCCAAAAAAGAGGGTGGAAATCTGGGTGCGTCTTATACTCTGAATGTAACCTCGCCCAGCTTCTCAAACGGAGGTTTCAGAGGCTGAAAAAAGCTTCAGAAACGAAGCTTCAGAAAAGAAGCCTCCAAACAGAGCTTCAGAGGCTTTTTTTCTGAACCTCTGTTTCGGAGGCTTTCAGAGGCAGGAAAAAGGTTTTTTCTGAAACAGAGTTTCAGAAGTTTCAGAGACAGAAAAAAAAGCAAAAAAAAAAAAAGCAAGGCACAGAGCTCACAACCAAGGAACCTGTTGCTAAAATTCACCTCTGGGAACAGCTGATTGGGGGTATTCCAGGAGGCTGATCCACCTGCCAATCAGCTTTTTTCTTATTTTCCTTCCCAAAAACTAAGATGCGTCTTATACTTCGGTGCGTCTTATACTCCGAAAAATACGGTACTTACTTTTTTTACTTTGGAGAAGCTTTGGAGTAATTGTTCTTCGTCAGTATATTCATGAACTAGAATAGGCATAGCAACAGGTCAGCCAATGGGGGATGGACTGTTTGGTAACTGAAACATAGTATTTGTTGTATGGGGCCATAAGAGACAGTTTGGAGCCTGGGCGTGGCTTAACTGTTCTGTATATAAGCACTAGCTTCTCTCTCCTCCATTTTTCCCTTCTCCATTTTGTGCTTCCATTTTGTGCTGTGTTTGTACTGGCTATTTCTCTTCTCTACAACGTGCAAAACCCTACCGTGGTATTGTATATAAAGACATTTTCTTACGTAGTTGAATCCTGCAGAATTATTTAATTGTGCCTCTGATTGCGTGCGCTGCAACAAACTCTGATGTTCTTTTCTCTCGGTCTCGCAAAGGAGCTGGTGTCAGTCAGCATTGGGGACAATCGGAGCGGCGAGATGATCGTCTTGGGCCATGTGAAGCACAAGCTGGTTTGTGCTCCAGATTTTGAATCCTTGCTGGCGTACAAGCATCGATAGGACTGCTGCAAAACAAACCCTCTTTTGCCAGGGTAGCTGGTGGTTCTGCCTAAACAGCAAGGATTTGAGCTCTTCCCAAAGTGCCTGCTCCTAAGTTGAGGAAGACAGAAGCGTTTCTGGGAAGACTCTGGTAGAAGAGAGGCAACGTTCATGGGAACGAGACTGACAAACATCTTGCTGTCGGAGATTTATCTGGAGCTCTAGAATCTCGGGGGGTAGGGGAAAGAGTCCGAAGGACTTGCTGCGTCCTTCCTCCCAGTTCCATACAGGATGTGACTTGCACCCTTGTAACGACTTTTAATGACTCAAATAAGTGCACGCTACCCGGTGATATGATCCCAAAGGGAGATTGGAAAAACCGCGAGCCTTGGAGCCAAGATTACCTGTTTAAGCAGCTGTTTCCTACAGATGCTTAGAGAAGATGTCACCGTTCCAAACATCTGCAGGAGATCGCACAATGATGCCTTTTCTCTTTCGCCTTCTGGAGCTTAACTACCACCCAGCGCAGTTAGGAGAAAAGGGTACGAGTGTGGAGAGGTGTGGGAAGACACATCAGACCAGGGGTCTGCAACCTTAAATGCTCAAAGAGCCATTTGGACCCATTTCCCACAGTAGAGAAAACACCGGGAGCCACAAAACCTGGGTGGGCGTGGCCAACTCGATGTCACTCACTTCCACCAGTCACATGACACACACACCCCTAGCCACGCCTATCCAGCCGGTCATTAGGGCAGAGAACCATTTGTTAAAAAACACCGGGAACCACAAAATCCTTTTGACATATCTCTCTCTCCCCTTCCTCCCTCTCTCCCTGTATCTCTCTAAGTCTCTCTCTCTTCCCCTCTCTCTGTATCTCTCTATGTCTCTCTCCCTCTCTCTCTGTATCTCTCTGTCTCTCTCTCTTCCCCTCTCTCTGTATCTCTGTCTCTCTCCCTCTCTCTGTATCTCTCTAAGTCTCTCTCTCTTCCCCTCTGTCTGTATCTCTCTCTGTCTCTCTCCCTCTCTCTCTGTATCTCTCTATGTCTCTCTCTCTTCCCCTCTCTCTGTATCTCTCTATGTCTCTCTCCCTCTCTCTCTGTATCTCTCTATGTCTCTCTCTTCCCCTCTCTGTATCTCTATGTCTCTCTCCCTCTCTGTATCTCTCTAAGTCTCTCTCTCTTCCCCTCTGTCTGTATCTCTCTATGTCTCTCTCTCTTCCCTTCTCTCTGTATCTCTCTATGTCTCTCTCTTCCCCTCTCTCTGATCTCTGTCTCCCCCTCTCTCTGTATCTCTCTGTCTCTGCCCTGGCCGCTTCTCCCATCCCCCGCCGTCGCCCTTACCTTCTCAGGCCAGGCGAGGAGTAACTGGGAGGGGAAGGTGAGGGGCGGGGCCAGCAAGTGGTGGGATCACCTGACAGGGAGCCACACAGGGCCCAAAGAGCCGCATGCGGCTCCGGAGCTGCAGGTTGCTGACCCCTGCATTAGACTGTCTTCTGCAATCACATCTCCTGTACATCGCTTGTCCAGACCACCTCACCATACTTGGTGAGGTTTTTTTCTTAAGGCTACTTTCGTCCTATCTATAAACAGCCAGGCCGAGGAAAAAAATGTATCTAGTTGACAAGCCCTGCCATTTCTCGTATTTATAATGCTGAGCATGACAAAAAGCTGCAACGGGGCTTCTTTTATAAATGGCGAAGGCAAAGAGGGAACGTCTCTTGCTTTTAATCTGGCTTTCCTTTCCCTCTACTTGAAGCGGCCAAGCATCGCCGGGCCTGTGGTCCTCAGGGAAAGATTCCTGCAGTGGCAGAGGGGACAGGAAGTCCTGGATGGTGGTTCCTCTGTCTATGAAAAAAAAAGGAAGTTATTTCGTCATCAGAAAAGCACATTCTGACCATTATAGCCAAAATGTCTCTCCCCACACTTCTGTCTGGTCTCTGTGTCTGTGTGTGTTTCTCTCTGTCTCTCTGTCTCTCCCTCCCTCCCTCTCTCTGTCTCTGTCTGTCTCTCTCTCTCTCTCTCTCTCCCCCTCCATCCCTCCCTTCCTCTTTCTCTCTCTCTGTTTCTCTCTCCATCCCTCCCTCTCCCTCCCTCTCTCTCTGTCTCCGTTTCTCTGTCTCTCTCTCCCTCCCTCCCTCCTTCCCTCTGTCACTCTCCCTCCCTCTCTTGCACTCTCTCTCTCTCTCTCTCACACACACACACACAAACAAACCTATTGAATTCAATGCTCTGGTTTAAAATGATTCTCCTTTCTCACACTGCCTTGGACTTCAGACACGATGGCAAGGAAGTTGTGGTTTGCTTACCTTTGTTACCTACCATACTTTGCTAAAGAGGACAATTAAGCGTTTAAAGATTTTTAGAGAGCAGCAGCTGAAGTATTTATGCTGCTTGGGGTTATGTTCTTCACCGCATTTGGGAAATCATAAATCCGAGAAAGCGTACGGTAGCATTGACTACAAAGGTTACTTCTCTGTTGAGGCATCTTTTTTTTTTTTCAACTGGGTACCTTTATTTGATCTTCTTGGTTAGCCAAATGGGAGAGAGCCACAACTTTGCGGTCAAGTTGTCGGCATGTATTTATCATCTGTATTATCTGTAAATAAAAGTGGACTTGAATGATTCCGTGTGTACAGTCCAAGGAATTTGAATAGGTTTGCACTTTGAAGCGACGAGGTAAGATAACAGGAAAGACATTTTCATCTTACCTGTCAGTGCACACCCAGGCAGGACGGTAAAATTTGATATAAGCACCTGGGAAATCAGGAGATTCAAGCAGTTCAAAGGAGTATAAAGGTTTATTGCAAGCTTTAGCGCTCTACAACAGTGTTTCCCAAAATTTGACATATGTGTACCCCTTCTATAATTTTCGTAACGCTGAGTACCCCTCATAAAAAATATATGGTACCCCTGGGCGTACGCGTACCACACTTCGGGAAACACTTAGATAACACTGCAATTCTCCGGTGTTTAAACAGCTCCGCGGCTCAACGTCAACTGTTAATGTTCCCGCAGTTTAAAAATGGCTGAACCCGAGCTGCGCGAAGGATGCGCAGAAGTTCCCGCCATAATGAGTTGCGATACGATGTACGATGGCCCCAGTTCCCGTGTAAAAACTGCGATACGCGCCTATTTCTTTCCTTGTTGGCGCAGCTAAGCACGGTGCAGTGGATATTCCCACGTGAACCCCACCAAACTCCGGTGCAATGCGTACCCCCACCAAACTCTTCCTGTACCCCTGGGGGTACGCGTACCACACTTTGGGAAACACTGCTCTACAAGATACTGGCCAACTAATGGTCGATGGAAATAAGTGGGAGATAAGAATAAAAAGAATTCAAGCTGGTCTGGACTTATCTCTTGTGGGCACTCAGAGACTCAAGACTTATGATACATTTGACGCCTCCCTCAGGCTCAGCCAGGTTATCTCCTACAATATTCCTTATAAAGAGAACGGCATAAAACAATACCAAAGAGCCTTGGTAGTACAGTGGTCTAAGGCACCCTGTTATTAAGCTGGTTATTAACATTCAGCTGCCTGCAATTACTGCAAGTTCGAATCTCGCCAAGGCTCAAGGTTGACTCAGCCTTCCATCCTTTCTAAGGTAGGTAAATTGAGGACCCAGTTTGTGGGGGCAATAAGCTGACTTTGTATAAAATATACAAAAGGATGAAGGCTATTGCTTAACGCACTGTAAGCCGTCCTGAGTCTCCGGAGAAGGGCGGCATATAAATCAAATTTAAAAAAATAAAAAAAAAATGTTAACCATGTGTAAATATTGGTTGAAAATGACAAGAGATTGTGGCGCTTGTAGCAAAAAGCAGCTCTTGGACAATGGAGCCACAGATACTTTGTGATAATTGGGGGGGGAAAGAGATAACTAATGGAGCCAGAAGAAAAAAACTGCAGATAAGGAACTGGAACTCTGGGAATCAAAAGGTGCCTGTCCCTTCTAGCTGCTTTAAAAAAAAAAAAAATCTGATTATATGGACGTTTTTCTACTCTGCCTTTCAGAATGAGAATTTTTTTTTTAATCAGCAGATGTTTCATTGAGTTTGGTTACAGAAGGCAATGTTAACACAATAGACCACCGTGGTTCCTGAAACAGAAAAGGCCTTGGAGTCTAACAAAGCTGGAGCAAACCAGACTGAGGAAGGCTGCTTTAATGGAAATCACACACTTTGCGATTACTGTATTTTTCAGACTATAAGACGCACCGGAGTATAAGACGCACCCAAGATTTCGAAGAGGTAAACAAGAAAAAAAAGGGGGTTTTGCCCTCCCCAGCCCCCAGGAGCACTCTGCAGGCCCGTTTTTCACACAAATGGGGCCTTCAAAGCAGAGGTGGGTTCTGTTTACCTTTACTACCAGTTTGCAATGGGGCTGCGTGTGCTTGCTTCATTTGCGCGCACCTCTTCTGCACATGCGCAGCATTTTGATGACATCAGAGTTGGTGGGCGGAGCCTCCCGCCAGTTTTACTACCCGTTCTATTGGAACCCGGGGGCAACTCACCACTGCTGCAGAGGGCGTGAGGGGCCTGCAGAGTGCTCCTGGGGGCTGGGGAGGGCAAAAAATGCCCCTGTTTTTGCGAAAAACGGGCCCATTTCTGACCTCCCCCCCCCCCCCCCCCCGCATCGTGTTTTTGTCCTCCCCAGGCCCCAGGAGCACTCTGCAGGCCTCTCAAACCCTCTGCAGGCCCTGTTTATGCGGAAAACGGGACGCGTGGGACGGGGTTTCGGGAGGCCAAAAATGGCTGTATTCGGTGTATAAGATACACCAACATTTCCACCCTCTTAGAGGGATGGTGGTGAAAGTGCGTCTTACACTCCGAAAAGTACGGTAATTCAGCAGTTATGGCTAAGAGAGAAACCAATGTCCTTTACAGGGTTCCTCTACGCCTCTGCTGATATTTTCATTGATATTTGGCAACGAGAACTTTGTCCAAGTTTCCTTGAGCGAAGAGCCCTTAAAAGTTCAGTGTCCAGGGATACTGGCTTTATTACAAGCCAAGGAGAAACGGTCCAATAAAGAGCCTTCTTTGCCAGCATAGTTGTAGAATTAAGCCATTTCCCCTTAACGAAGTCCCATTTATTTATTGCATTTGAAATTGCCCATCAGCAATTTCAGCCTTCGCGGAGAAGTAGAAGTAAACAAACGACAAAGCAAGATAGAAGTAAACAAATGGCAAAGCGAGATTATAGGCTGCAAAATAACTATATTTTTGGGGGAAATCTCTTTATAAATGTTTTCAGGAAGCCTACTAATCAAACATCTGGCATCAGAAGAAATAGAAATTGAAGCCGTCAGGAATGGATTTGAAAAGCGTTCGTGTACTGTATATGGGTAGGACTAGAAGATCTGTCGAGTAAATCCAGGGTGGCGTCTAGGGAACAGGATTGCTGTGGGTGACAGGCGAGCAGATTCAAGACATTCTTGGAAAGACTCATAAATGTGAACCAGTCATGAGTAGGACCTTCCAGAGAGCTGCTACCGCCTGCCTGCAGGAGCTGTAGATGGAAGTTTATTCTGAAGTGCTCATTCAAAGATGAAGTTTAAGATCATCGGGTCTGAAATATCAGCCACTTTCTTAGACTTCCTTAGAAGTTACCAGGATCCACCTCTCTTTTGCATGCTCTTCAACAGGATGGAAAGAAAAATGTCATCCTTTGCAAACTGGACTGATAAAAGCAGCCGGTAACCGACATGATATTGGAAGCTTGTTGCATATTTATTGCCGTAAATGCTCTTCGATGTACTTCGCTGTCTGGAAAGCTTTCAGATTCAGGGTCCCTCCTTGAATTCCCTGCATACCAATGAGGATTAGGCAAATCGGATTAACCAGGACCACAGCGATGGCATGGGTGCAGTTGTCCTTCTTATCCTCGTGGTAGACCTTGGTTCGGAGGTCCATTGTATGCTGTTGGGCGTCGGTATACAAATTGTCTCGTATGACCAGACATTTGTGGCCACCCAGAGTCAAACCCTGAGTGAGGAGTATGTTTCTGTTCCTACCGAGGAGAGCTTGGATTTCTGGTTTGGTTATTCTGGCCAAGATGCCACCTTGGTGGGCACGTAAGACCTGCTGCTGTGCTACAGAGATAACCGCGGCATCACAGCACAGCCCATCTCTCATGAAACTGTTGATACACCCTTGCCAAGAAGTCATTTGGTGGTTTGGGGAGGGTTGCATTTAAAGGCACCTTGTAGCTGCTTTGAAAAAAACACCCAGTTCTCCTTTTTAGAGTAGGCCAATTTGGCTCTTCTGAAACTTGAAGGTAGGTAAGTAGGTTGGTTGGTTGGTTGGTTGGTTGGTTGGTTGGTTGGTTGAAAATCTTCTCTTCGTCACTCAGTATACCTGTCTCTAAGAAGATGGAACATTTATTTTATTTATTTATTTTATTTTTCATATTTGTATACCGCCCTACTCCCGAGGGACTCAGGGCGGTGAACAGCCATAAATAAATACAAAGACATACAAAAGTTAAAACTATTAAAAATATTAAATAATTTAGGATTAGGTTCAAAGATTAAAACATCCAATTTAACTAAAAGAGATTTAAAACCCAATTTAAAGCCAATTTAAAGGCTAATTTAAAAGGGAGAGTTAGGCCAGACCAGCCTGTTGGAATAAAAATGTTTTTAGGGCGCAGCGGAAGATGCGTAGGTCTTGGATCCTCCGCATCTCCGGGGGGAGCTCGTTCCAGATGGCAGGTGCCCCCACAGAGAAGGCTCTCCTCCTGGGGGCCGCCAGTCGACATTGTTCGGCTGACGGCACCCCGAGGAGCCCCTCTCTATGGGAGCGAACTGGTCGGTGAGAGGCTACTGGTGGCAGGAGGCGGTCTCGTAAGTACCCTGGTCCTGAGCCATGGAGCGCTCTAAAGGTAGTAACCAAAACCTTGAAGCGCACCCGGAAGACCACCGGGAGCCAGTGCAGCTCGCGCAGGAGGGGGGTCACATGAGAGCGCCACATTGCTTTATTTGAGGCTAAAACAAGATAATGGCTGCTTACTGCGTCTACTTCCATGCACTGTTGATGGACATATCTCAAAAATAACTTGCTGTCAAGTGTTAGGACACAAACCCTTCAAGCAGTTACTTGATCTTTCCCAGTGTTGTCTTGGATACAACTATTGAGCGTTCCTTCGCAGGCTCCAAGCTGTTCATTCTAGAATTCTGATATCTCTGTAGAATTCTGTAGAATTCTGAATTCTCACTACCTACGTTTCCTGTGATATCATAATGCATCTTTTTCCTGGAGGAATCGAAACAGCTCAGTTTGTTTTATGCAGATGGGTGCACAGTCATCATACTTTTAACTAACAATCGTAGCCTTTGTGTCTGAATCTGACAGTATACAAGTTAACAAAATTCTCCTTTTGAATCAGAAGACTTGGGATCAGGACTGAGTCCCTCAAAATACAATACAGGGGTATTGGAATCGTGATTATTGTAATTCCCACATCAAGGCTACGAAGCATGCTTGGGTTCCTAATTGCCTATTAATTGCTATTGTTGAGATTTTAACTGAAGTTGATTTAATTGTTTCTTCATGTTTTTTTATTTAATATCGGCCACCCAGAGTTGCATTGTTCAAATTGGGTGACCATGCAGTGGCGAAATCCAAATATTTTTACTACTGGTTCTGTGGGTGTGGCTTGGTGGGCGTGGCAGGGGAAGGATACTGCAGAATCTCCATTCCCACCCTACTCCAGGGGAAGGATACTGCAAAATCCCCATTCCCTCCCCACTCTTGGGGGAAGGATATTGCAAAATCTCCATTCCCACCCCACTCGGGGGCCAGCCAGAGGTGGTATTTGCCAGTTGTCCGAACTACTCAAAATTTCCACTACAGGTTCTCCAGAACCTGCTGGATTTCACCCCTGTGACCATGTAAGTTTCATAAATAAACAAGTAAATATTCAGGTATTTTGAAAAGCTCCTTTTTCTGGACCAAGTTCTACCCTGCAGCATGTTACAACCACAGTTCCCCAGCCGGTTTCTTAAGTGGAATCTAGAATTTAGGCATTGGTGGGATTAAAATAATTTAACAACCGGATCTTTGCCCTAATGACCAGCTGGATGGGTGTGGCCATGGTGGGTGTGGCCATGGTGGGCGTGGCCAAGGGGTTTGACAGGCAGCACTCGGTCTCCTGCACGCCCCTGGGAGCAAAAAATGGTCCGTGCACCGTTTTGGGCCTAGTAGGCCTCCCTGCAACCTCCTGGGAGCGAAAATGGGCCGCGGGGAGGCACTTGACCCCCCCACCCCATTTTGGACCTAGGAGGCCTCCCTGCACTTACCTAGAAGCCAAAATGGGGCGCATGGGGACTCCTGGAAGGGGAGGGGAGGGGTCAGCCAGCAATTTACCGATTCGCCTGAACCGGCTGAATCCCACCACTGAATTTAGGATTGCTTTTATGATGGTGCATTTATTTATTTATTTATTTATTTGTTTCCATTTCTATACCGCCCTTCTCCAAATAGGACTCAGGGCGGTGAACAGCCAAAGTAAAAAAAAAAAAACAGAACATACAAAATTTAAAAAACAGTTTAAAATAATTAAATATTTTGGCCGTAAATTAAAACAATCCAATTTAAAATCAATTTAAAATTTAACTCAAGCCAGCCCAGCTAGTTGAAATAGATAGGTTTTCAGGACCCGACGAAAAATCGGAAACATTTAGTTCCTGCTTCCTGTTTCAGTGGCTCAATGGGAGGCTTTTGTAGATTGAATAGGGTTTGGGTTTAAGCCCCCAAAGGAACTGAGTCTTCTTATCTTGAAGCCCTAATGTTTTAAGAATTGCAAGCACACATTAGCACGCTACATCCTGCAGAAAACCTGGTATTTGGCCGACCAAATCTCAGGCAAAAAAGGCAACAGGTGCTGTAAGGAATTCGTTCCCCCAGACTCCACTTAACAACATCAGAAGCCCTCTGACCATGAGATGGCAGCAAACAACCACCAACGAAGCTGAAACCCAGTACTTAGGAAAGGAAGAAACCAGGTTTATGAGGAAGTCAAGTATCATTATCCTTGTATCCACCACTTCTCATTTTCTCCTACTTGAGAACAAGTAAGTTACCAGCAGCCTCCTCTTAACCTCTTTTCTGGGCTCTCCAGAGGTATCTCTGATGGCCACTCTTTAAGAAAGTCCTTCACGTGATTTTCTGCATTTTGAAGTGGAAAAAATCTTCAAATGCTGTATTGTAAGATGCACTCTCCAGATTTAAGAGGAAAAAAAACATTGGTATGTTAAATTCTGGTTGGAAAAAAAGCAGAAACAGAGATTGGAACTTTTAACTGAGGCTTAGTGGACTCTCCAAAACTTAAGAGGTATTCTATAAGAAATAAAAAACTACGACTAATTGAAATTATTAACCTTGGAAAAGGTAAAGGTAAAGGTTCCCCTCGCACATATGTGCTAGTCGTTCCTGACTCTAGGGGGCGGTGCTCATCTCCGTTTCAAAGCCGAAGAGCCAGCGCTGTCCGAAGACGTCTCTGTGATCTTATGGCCGGCATGACTCAACACCAAAGGCACAGAACGCTGTTACCTTCTCACCAAAGGTGGTCCCTATTTTTCTACTTGCATTTTTTTACATGCTTTCGAACTGCTAGGTTGGCAGAAGCTGGGACAAGTAACGGGAGCTCACCCCGTTACGCGGTACTAGGGATTCGAACCGCTGAACTGCCGACCTTTTGATCGACAAGCTCAGCATTTTAGCCACTGAGCCACCGCATCACTAATTAACTTTGTACACATTAACCTCAAATACATACACAAGTGCGTGCAAAGTCACAGGACAAACGAAACTTTAATAAGTAATCAGCTTAAGAGTAAAACCTCTAATTATTTTGATGTGAGTTGTAGCAGTCCTTTTTCAATGTTACACCCAACTACAGATTTAAATTTAAAAAAATACGTTAATAACATTTCTATCCTAAATTGTATATATTGAATATATTTCTCTCTCTTTTTGCCCTCAACATTCTAAGCTATTTAATAGACTTTAATAATTTTACACATGTTATACAAACATCAATGTATGCAAACAATACAATGTGCTAAGATTTATACCAGTGTAAAAGAGGAGAAAAAATTATGAACTTTCCGAGTGCTTATATATGAAGAATGCTAAATCGGAGAACCTCTCAGTGAAGTAGGATTGATGTTTTTATTATATTGTCTTTCAATGTCACTGTTTGCCAGTCCATTGCCCAGTTAATTCAGAGTCACCTTGTAGGGGACGGACGATAGTAATTTAATAAATAAAATCTATTTTATGTCTGAAAACGATAAATAAATGTGCTTCGAATGTGTGGCCCCAAAACAGTCTGAGTTTTGAGCCAACCTCTTGAAGCATATTTATTTATTTTTAAAGAGCAGCTTCAGGAAATATAGAACTGAGTATCGAAGCTGCCAAATAAATAAAATTTATATAAGTAGTACCTTATTACCCATCGTTAATTGGTTCTGGGAGGCATGCTGACTACTAAAAACAATGAATACCAAACAAAATTTTCCCTTAAGGAATAATGCAGCAAATCACAAGGCAGCCGACACCAACAAGTTCTAGCTTGTGCATCTAGTACCAAGCAAACAATGAGTACCAGGACACAATTTTCACGTCCAAATGCGTCAAGTACCAAATTCGACGAGTTTCAAAGCAATTGAGTACCAAGGTACTACTGTATATGGATTCTCAGCTGTGGGGATCTAGGACAAGAATATTTTTTCCAGGAATGATTTAAAAGCCCTCTCAAATAACAGATTGAGAAAACAGATAAAATAACAACAAATACAAAAAAAAAATAGGATATATTTTCAATTCTTAAATGTTTTACTTCTACGTTGGTGCAAAACCTTGAATGGATGGCTGAGACAGCTGAGAAACATAATTTGCTATAGTTTTGTTGTATGGTCTTTTGTTGGACGAAAGGCAGAGAAAATGGGGAAGGGATTAGATTAAAAAAACCAGTTTATTCCCACTTTAACACTACCTTTAATTAGTAGCTGCACTGCTTCATAAAGAATGCTTTGCTACTCAGACAATATCTCAACATAATGGGTTGATATTTTGTATGAGTGATACTCTTGGCTCCCTTGATTCGTATGACTTCTTTCTTTATAGGGATGTTCCTCAATTTTGCATCACCCCAAAAACTCCCATAATTCTCAGGCAGCATCACCAGATGTTGGAAGTTTCTCTCCTCAGCATTTTTGGAGTGCCCTTCCGATGGTGAAAATCTACCCTCCATCGCATAATGTTCATTTTTTCCTTGTTGAACCATCCCGCCACTTGTCTTCATTCCTACCCGTTCTTTTTAGCTTTCCCTTTAACATTACAATAGAGCAGGGATCTCCAACCTTGGCAACTCTAAGACCTATGGACATCAACTCCCAGAATTCCCCAGCCAACTATGGCTGGCTGAGGAATTCTGGGAGTTGAAGTCCACAAGTCTTTTTTTATTTTTTTGTAATTTTTTTTTATTTTTTCCAACATAAACATAAAAAAGAAAAAATTTTCAAGAACGAAGTCTTGGTCCGGTCACAAATGGGTATACTAATTTAACAAATGAGAACAAACAATTTTAACGTAAATTCCAACATCTCAATAAATCTGTTATCTCATCATACATCCTAATCTCCTACTAAGGCAGAGCTCACGTTTATATTCAATTATAAATTCAATTATAAATCAAAATTCAATACCGCTTTATCTAAATTTTTTTATCCCTTGCTCCTTTTAGCAAGAACATTAAACACAAAGACAACCTATTCTATTAATCTATATATTTACCTTACAATTTTATCACCACAAATCTTAAATTCCAAATGTATGCAACTCAATTTTTATTTCAATTTATTAATCAAAATTTCTTTCTATTCTTCTCGTTTTCTAAACCCAATTCATCCTATCATGTTCTTAAGCTTTTACACGGAGATCTCAAAATTTACCATTTCAAAGTCCACAAGTCTTAAAGTTGCCAAGGTTGGACACCCCCTACAGTAGAGCAATTGCAATGAGGTTAATCTTTGTTCTCCAACTTAGTCCAAAGATGGCTCCATCAGCCTTGTCGAAGTGGCTCCTCGGGACTCCTTCATCTTTTCTAGGGCGAGCAGCAAGTCAAGCTGAGTAAGTGGCCTCAAAGGATTTTCTTCCAAGTCCCTGGGCAGGAAGGAAAGAAAAGGCTTTCTGTTAGTTCTTTCCCTCTACAACTCCTTGCTCTTCATTTCCATTGCAACGCCTGAAGGTTAACTCATAACTGGTGAGCCATTCTAGGAGCCGGGAGAGGGTGAAAACGGCCTTCCCCACCACCCCAGAGGCCCTTCGGAGGCCGGAAACGGCCCGTTTGCTGACTTCCGGTCCCACCATTTTCGCCCTCCCCAGGCTCCTAGAAAGGCTCTGGAGCCTAGGGAGAGCGAAAAACAGGCCTTCCCCCCCACACACACAGGCCCTCCGGAGGCAGGAAACAGCCGGAGCTGAGCTCGCGTGCCCACCGATATGGCTCTGTGTGCCACCTGTGGCACGTATGCCATAGGTTCACCATCACACGTGTAACAGTCCTAAGCATGAAAAACATTCATGTCATGTTTTCCAGCGCCATTGTAACTTTGAACTGTCAATAAATGAGCTGTCATAACTCAAGGACTACCTGTGCTGTAGTCTATAAAATGTTCAAACGTTGCTGGAACGCAAATGACTTACGTCTCCTCCGCACTCCCTCTGCGGTGCAGCAAGTAGGCGATCTGTCTCATTTGTTGTTTTCGGACATAATCACGCACGCGATACGTGGCCGCGTCCCGGCACAGTTCCCACAGGTCACTGCCGGAGTAACCACGTGTTTTCTCTGCCAGCTCCTTCAGGCTCACGGCGTTGCTCATCTGAGAAACATCCCCAGTAAATAAAATGGGTTTTGTTGTGAGCTAGGCTTCACCAAATCACAAAACAGACTCTTTGTCCCGAAAAAAAAAAAAACACCCCTTTTTATTTGGCTAATGTGAATTCCTAGCATTCACACCCAGCAAACGGTCTTTCCTTTTTTTTTTCTTCTCCCTGGAAAAAAAGAAAGCTGTGGCTGGGTCCAGAGCAGGGGTGAAATGTAAAATTTGCTACTACCGGTTCTGTGGGCGTGGCTTGGTGGGGGTACTGTGTTCTGTCCCCGTCTCCACACACATGCACACACAGCCAGCCGAGGGTTAAAGGAAGCACTTGGCACGCACACAGTTTGTTATCAGAAACTTGGCAGCAAGACGAGCACCGACTGCCAAGTGCTTTTACTTCAATAAACGGGAGTATCCCTTCACCATATAAACAGAAATACACACAGTTTGCAAATAGTCCAGTTCAAAACAAGAAACCTTCGGCAGAGTTTGCAAATACTCCTCCCACTTATGACTGTATGACTGTAATTTTGTTGCTTGTATCCTTACAATTTATATTGATATTGTTTCCTGATTCCTTATTTGTACCCTATGACTATCATTAAGTGTTGTACTTTATGATTCTTGACGAACGTATCTTTTCTTTTATGTTCACTGAGAGCTTATGCACCAAAGACAAATTCCTCGTGTGTCCAACCACACTTGGCCAATAAAAAATTCTATTCTATTTTTATTCTATTCTATTCTATTCTATTCTATTCTATTCTATTCTTTTATTCTATTCTATTCTATTCTATTCTATTCTATTCTATTCTATTCTAAAAGTTGACTTAGGTACACTCTGAACATGCTCTAATCCTTTCAGCAGGACATAGGAAAGAACATCTAATGGGTCTCGTCATAGATCAGAATCGAGAGCTTTTGAATGCGTTTTTAGAATTAAGCCCAGGGCAGCCACATACAGCCTGAATACTATCTGCGAGCATCCATTGTGCTTCAAATGTTTCGGGGTTTTATTGCCGAAAAGGGTCGTATGAATAAACTTTAACTTGCTGCTCTACCGTGAAACCTGTCATTGACTACAGGGATTTGTTAACATTCCAGAAAGGGTTTTTCCACAACTCTTTCCTTGAATAAGATCTAAGTTGAAAACATGGGAAGAAAGCAGGAAACTTACATTTTCTCCAGCAAGAATTAGCTTCAGGATATCTTGTCTTTGCCTTTGGGTCTGTCAGAGCAGAGAATGGAATTGAAAACACGATAACAAAAAACGAGGAGAGAGAAAGAGAGAAATTTGGTGCCTTTGAATCAGTCTTGACTCTTGGTAACCGCCTGGATAGATCCGTGCAGTTGTTCTGACTTAGGCTTCCCAAGAGCATGAAGCAGAGTCCTTGTCCCGACAAAAAACCCCTTTTTATTAAGTTACTGTGAATTCTTCTCATTCACATCCAGCAACGCCTTTCAAGGGTGAATTTACACTCACAGACTTTATCTGGCTTGGAGAGCTGCCAGGCCGATATCTTCAAAATTTGGCAAGGAGAGTAACGAACCAATTAAGTGAACTAATTGTCTCCTGCAAACTCCACTCCCCCTTTTGCTCCTCTTTTATTCCCTCTGGGAGGGGCCATTCATTGTCCACCTGTGGCCTTACTCCCTAGTCAACCCTTGTTCTTTAGCTGTTCCCTTCGACTGGCAACTCTGCGCATGCGCACACTGGGAACAGGCCCCAGCTGTTCATCTGCCTCACTGATGTCTGACTCTGAAGGCAGCTGATAACTGGCATCCGGCCCTGGCTCCCTCTCTGCCTCCGACGCAGAGCCGTCATCAGAGCCTTCCCCAGTCTCCAGGATTGGCCCATGTTCCTCCCCAGCCTCCTCACTGTCCGAATCTACTGCCAGCTCCACTGGCCGCTTGGGGGGGCCACAACAGCAGTTTTCTTAGCAATATTTCAGAAGTGGTTTGCCATTGCCTCCTTCCTAGGGCTGAGACAGAGTGACTGGCTGAAGATCAGCCAGCTGCCTTTGTTGCCTAGCCACCACTGCACTAACCTGGCTGCCTGCCTCCCTCTTTTTCCCATCTTCCTATCTGTTAAATATGAAATGTTCTACATGTTGCTTTCTGTGTTTCTGCAATTATTTTTGAGGCCATCTAGGCCTCCCTGCCACAAACTCTCTTATTTCAAGTACGTTCTCCCCGAAGAACCTAATGGTTTGACTGACTGGATCTTGCAAAGTCCATATCGGAGGTGATCTTACTATCCAGCAATGTGGGTGGTTGGGGAAGAGGGTTTGTGGGAAGAGAAGTCACGTCTACTCACAGGTAGTGCAATATGAAATGTTGTTGGCATTCTCCTCAGGATGGCTGGGTCCACATCTTGAGGCCTGTTGGTGGCTCCCAGCACCATTACCTGAAATAGGTAGATTAAGAGATTAACAGAGTTGGAAGGGACCTTGTAGGTCATCTAGTCCAACCCCCCCCCCCAAGCAGGAGACCCTACACCATTTCTGACAGGCCAGTCTCTTCTTGAAAGCTTCCAGTGATGAAGCTCCCGCAACTTCTGAAGGCAACTTCTGTTCCATGGGCTGATTGTTCTCACTGTCAGGAAATTTCTCCTTATTTCCAGGTTGAATCTCTCCTTGTTCGGTTTCCATCCATTATTCCTTGTCTGGCCTTCGGGTGCTTTGGAAAATAGCTTGACCCCCTTCCTCCTCTCTGTGGCAGCCTCTCAAATATTGGAAGACTGCTATCCTGTCTCCCCTGGACCTTCTCTTCACTAGACTAGTGTTTTTATTATTGTGAGCCGCCCTGAGTCCATTGGGAGATAGGGCGGCATATAAACCGAATAAATAAATAAATAAATAAATAAATAAATAAATAAATAAATAAATAAATAAATAAATAAATAAATAAATGATTGAATGATTGATTGAATGAATGAATGAATAAATAAATAACTGAATGAATGAATAAATAAATAACTGAATGAATAAATAAATAAATAAATAAATAAATAAATGATTGATTGAATGAATGAATGAATAAATAAATAAATAAATAAATAAATAAATAACTGACTGAATGAATGAATGAATAAATAACTAAATAACTAAAAGAGCCTTGGTAGTACAGGGGTTTAAGGCACCCTGTTATTAAGCTGGTTATTAAGACCAGCTGCCTGCAATTACTGCTGGTTCGAATCTCGCCAGGCTCAAGGTTGACTCAGCCTTCCATCCTTTCTAAGGTAGGTGAAATGAGGACCCAGTTTGTGGGGGCAATAAGCTGACTTTGTATAAAAATATACAAAAGTATGAAGGCTATTGCTTAGCGCATTGTAAGCCGCCCTGAGTCTTCGGAGAAGGGCGGCATATAAATCAAATTAAAAAAAAAACTAAATGAATGAATGAATGAATGAATAAATAAATAAATAACTAAATGAATGAATGAATGAATGAATGAATGAATGAATAAATAAATAACTAAATGAATGAATGAATGAATGAATGAATGAATGAATAACTAACTAACTAACTGAATGAATGAATGAATGAATGAATGAATAAATAACTAAATGAATGAATGAATGAATGAATGAATGAATGAATGAATGAATAAATAACTAACTAAATGAATGAATGAATGAATGAATGAATGAATGAATGAATAAATATGCCCAGTTCCTACAACCATTCTTCCTAGGTTTTAGCCTCTAGTCGTCTGGTTGCTCTTCTCTGCACTCTTTCTAGAGTCTCAACATCTTTTTTGATAGTGTGGTGACCAAAACTGATCACCACGACACCATGTGCTAACCTTCAAAAGTGACCACGTAGTTTTAATTTAATTTGTGACGTTTTAACATTTTCTTTTTTCAGTATGTTGGTTGAGCATAATGTGCAAACCAGGGAAATGCACAGAACTACGGCTCTGGTGGAAGAACGAACGGTCCATATTTTGGTTTAGCTCAGCAGACTAAAAGCATAGTGATTAACACCAGCTGCCTGCAATTACTGTAAGTTCGAATCTCCCCAGGCTCAAGGTTGACTCAGCCTTCCATCCTTTCTAAGGTAGGTGAATTGAGGACCCAGTTTGTGGGGGCAATAAGCTGACTTTGTATAAATATACACAAGTATGAAGGCTATTGCTTAACGCATTGTAAGCCGCCCTGAGTCTCCGGAGAAGGGCGGCATATAAATTAAATTAAAAAAATAAATTTTTTTTTAAGGCTGGCTTGGACTCAATTTGCATTCATGGATCCAAGCGCCAAGCCTTACCTGGCAGTCAGATGCTGTCTGGAGCCCATCCCAAAGACTCATGAATTCTGCTTTCATCATAGCTGTGGCTTCATGGTCAGTTCTGGAGCGGTTCCTCAGGAAGGCATCTGCCAGACATGGGTAGAACATTAAAACAATAGTTTGACAAAGTTGAGTTCCTGCTTTTCTCCAGATAGCGGTCCGTTTCCTTTAGCAAAATGCTTTCTCTTTCATCTCATTCTAAATCAATAGCAACATGCAGGGGAAATTAGTCCCAAAGGTGCTTTTTCAGGAGGCAACTGGACTTTCTTGGGTTTTTTTTAATTTTTTTTTTAAATTTGATTTATATGTCGCCCTTCTTCGGAGACTCAGGGCGGCTTACAATGCGTTAAGCAATAGCCTTCATACTTTTGTATATTTATACAAAGTCAGCTTATTGCCCCCACAAACTGGGTCCTCAATTTACCTACCTTAGAAAGGATGGAAGGCTGAGTCAACCTTGAGCCTGGTGAGAATTGAACTCGCAGTAATTGCAGGCAGCTGGATGTTAAATGCTGCCTTAATAGGAGGCATTAGCCTCCTACGCCACTCAGACTGTTTGAAGACGTTTCACTTCTCATCCAAGAAAGAGCCTTGGTGGCGCAGCAGACTAAAGTGCTGTTAAGTAGCACCAGCTGCCTGCAATTCCTGCAAGTTCAAATCTCACCAGGTTGACTCAAGGTTGACTCAGCCTTCCATCCTTCCGAGGTAGGTAAAATGAGGACCCGGATTGTGGGGGCAATAAGCTGACTTTGTATAAAAAAGAACACCGCTTAGGGGCGGGGGGCGAAAGCCCTACTAAGCAGGTATATACAAAAGTACGAAGGCTATTGCTTAGCGCATTGTAAGCCGCCCTGAGTCTCCGGAGAAGGGCGGCATATAAATCAAATTAAAAAATAATAATAATAAATAAATAAATAAATAAGAAGCTTCTTCAGCTCTGACTGAATGGAGGGAAATGGAAGGATTTATATTCCTTGCAGACAGCTGGTCATTTGCATCCTTTTAGAGGGTCCTTGAAGCACTTGGGAGGTTTATCTGTGTCCTCGGGGTCACCCGAGTCGTGCAAATGGCTGTGGAGCCTTCTTGGCTGCAGGATGTTTTTCTGCCCTGTGTCTCTTCACAGTTGAAGACAGGCGGAGGCTTTTGGGATTCTGTGTTGTCTGCATCTCAAACTGAAGTGCACATGGTTCCTATAGTCTGCAATTGTTCTAAGAAGGCTCCATAGCCATTTGCACTACTCGAGTGACCCTGAGGCAGGTTTTACCTTTACTACCGGTTTGCAACGGGTTCGTGCACACGCTTGCTTTGCTTGCATGCACACTTTACTTCTGTGCATGCATGTTCTGTCCCCGTCTCACACACGCACACAAACAGACAGCCGGGGGTTAAATAAACTGGCAGACCACCAATTCTTCCGATAAGACGCTTGGCAGCAACCCAGTAGCTGCTTGCCAAGAACTTTACTCAATAAACAAAATACCCACAGTTCAAGAATTGTCCAGTTCGTAAAATAAATCCAAGGCAGATAAAGATGCAATGTGACTCGATAGTAGTTAGTTTTGTCCATCACAGAGTCTGAATGGCCACCTCACCCCCTTTTATATCCTGTGGGGTGTGGTCCAGTGACTCAGCCTAATCTCTGGCACGCCTTTTCTTCTGTTGTATGCGCTTATCTCTGCGACGCTGGTGTGGATCCAGCCAAGACTCATTACCCTCATCACTGTCCACCTGTGGCTGCGTGGACGTGCTTGGCCCCGGCCCTATCTCTTGCCCTTCGGCGGACACCGAAGGCATTGCCAGAGAGGAGGGTCCTGGAGAGGGAGGCCTTGCCAACTCCTCTCCTCCACTCTTGGAGTCCTCTCCTGCCGATGACACAGGCTCAGGTAATGGAGCCACAACAATGCACAGATCGCTAATGATGACATCTGAGGCGGTGGGCAGAGCCTCTTGCCGGTTTTATTACCAGTTCTTGTGAACCGGTCCAAACCAGGAGCAACCCACCACTTCCCTGAGGACACAGATAAACCTCCCCTTGCTTCAACGACTGTCTAAAACAGGGGTGTCAAACTCACGTCGTCACAGTGGTGTCACATGACGTATCAGGACTTTTCCCCCTTTGCTAAACCGGGCGTGGGCGTGGCCAGCATGTGACGCATCTGGCCCGTGGGCCGGGAGTTTGGCAGCCCTGCTCTAAAAGGATGCAAACGACCAGCTGTCTGAAAGGAGTATAAATCCTTCCATTCTCCACCATCCAGCCAGAACTGAAGAAGCTTCTGGGATGAGAAGCGAAACGTCTTCAAAGAAAACCAAGAAAGTCCAGTTGCCTCCTGAAAAAGCACCTTTGGGACAACCATGACCTGGATGACTGAGAAGCTACAGACTTTTAGCTATCGAACTTGGGATGAAGCCCCTTGTAATGGTGTGGAAGTAGGAATGGATTTCCAGAGGAGAAAAATTGCAGACTACAGGAATCAGGAGTGCCACTCAGGTGACCCTGAGGACACAGATAAGCCTCCAAGTGGTGTTGTGACTCCGACCCCCGAGGCCGACTTATCGGAGGGAGAAGGCTCCGAACATGAAGGAGAGGAGTTGGCCAGGCCTCCCTCTCCAGGACCCTCCTCTCTGGCAATGCCTCAGGTGTCTCCCGAAGGAGAAGAGAGTGGCCAGGAGCCAGGTATCTCCTCGCAGTCGGACAGTGAAGGAGATAAGTCTTGGCTGGATCCACGCCAGCGTCGGAGAGACAAGCGCATGCAGCAGAAAAGGAGGCGTGCCAGAGATTAAGCTGAGTCACTGGACCACACCCCACAGGGGATATAAGGGAGTGTGGTGGCCATTCAGGCTCTGTGACAGACAAAACTAAACTACTAGTGAGTCGCATTGTATCTCTGAAACTACGTTATCTGCCTGCTTGGATTTAATACGGACTGGACTTGACATTCCTTTCACTTTTTGTGTGGGTTTATCTACCTCCCTCTGTGAGTAAAGTTCTTGGCAAGCAGCTACTGGGTTGCTGCCAATCCTCTTATCGAAAGATTTTGTTGTCTGCAAGTTTTATTTAACCCCTGGCTGACTGTTTGTGTGCGTGGGTGAGACGGGAACAGAACAAGTGGCCTCAACAACTCTCTAAAAGGATGCAAACGACCAGCTGTCTGCAAGGAATATAAATCCTTCCATTCCCCACTATCCTGTCAGAGCGGAAGAAGCTTCTTGGATGAGAAGCAAAACGTCTTCAAAGAAGAAAGAAAATACAAAGTCCAGCAGCTGGACTTCCTTGGAGTTTTTTTCCCCCCTTTGGAAATATTTCCCTTCTCATCCAAGAAGCTTCTTCCGTTCTTCTTGGATGAGAAGCGAAGCGTTTTCAAAGGAAAAAAAAAATCAGGAAAATCCAGTTGCTTTTTGGAAAAGTACCTTTGGGACATCCATGACCTGGATGATGGAGAAAGTCCCATCATTTCAGTGGAAATTAGGTTTTTCCAAAGACTGAACCATTGTTTTTTACATTATGATCTTATTCTACCTTCTCTTAAAGGGTACTGACACCTCCTCCTGAGGAGCCACTCCTGCCTTTTGGCAGCTCTGCGCTCCTCCTCCTCTTCGTCCTCTTCACTTATGGGAGCTTCTGGAGGTTCTGAAGGCCCTGGCTGAATCCCCGCCTCTGGCACCACATCTTCTCCAGCCTCCTCACTGTCAGAATCAGCTACAATCCGCACAGGCCGCTGACGGGCCACAACATAAGCAGAAAACTATTGATTCAATGCAGTACCCCAAAGGGTAAGTTTTAAAATCAGAGCCAATAACGAAGAAAGAACATTAAGTTATAGTATGTGTTACATAAGAACCAGAGGTGGGTTTTAGCAGGTTCTGACCAGTCTTGGAGAACCAGTAGCGGAAATTTTGAGTAGTTCGGAGAACTGGTAGTAAAAATTCTGACTGGCCCTGCTCCCATCTATTCTCTGTTCTGTCCCGTCTCACACACGCACACAAACAGATAGTCAGGGGTTAAATAAAACTGGCAGACAACAAATTCTTTCGATAAGAGACTTGGCAGCAACCCAGTAGCTGCTTGCCAAGAACTTTACTCATAGAGGGAGGGGTTGTTCCTCCGACAGATAAACCCAAACAAGATACACACAGTTCAAGAATTGTCAAGTCCAGTCCGTATTAAATCCAAGGCAGATAACGTTTCAAAGATACAATGTGACTCGCTAGTAGTTTGTTTTGCCCGTCACAGAGTCTGAATGGCCACGTCACCCCCTTTTATCCCCTGTGGGGTGTGGTCCAGTGACTCAGCTTAATCTCTGGCACGCCTCCTTTTCTGCTGCGCGCGCCTGTCTCTCCGACGCTGGCGTGGATCCAGCCAAGACTTATCTCCATCACTGTCCGACTGCGAGGAGATACCTGGCTCCTGGCCAATCTCTTCTCCTACGGGAGACACCTGAGGCATTGCCAGAGAGGAGGGTCCTGGAGAGAGAGGCCTGGCCAACACCTCTCCTTCATGTTCGGAGCCTTCTCCCTCCGATAACACAGGCTCAGGTAATGGAGCCACAACATTCTCTGCCTCCCGAGTCCTAGCTGATCGGGAAGAAATGGGGATTTTGCAGTAACCTTCCCCTGCCACACCCACAGAACCGGTAGTAAAAAAATTTGAAACCCACCACTGATAAGAAGCACCCAGACTGAGAACTTACCTATTTCATCAATGAAAATGATGCAGGGCTGGATTTTGATTGCCAGAGAAAAAACGGCCGCTGTGAGTTTCTGTGACTCTCCGTACCATTTGTCCATCAAGGTGGGCGCTTGAAGGTTGATGAACCTGCAGCTGGATGCCTGGGCCATTGCTTTGGCAAGGAGGGTCTTGCCACATCCTGGAGGTCCATACAGTAGGACCCCTAAATAAAAGGGAAAGTCATAAGCCCATATTCAGGTGGTTTTCCTACCACCCACCTCCTAATGAATTAAAGGTAAGAGCACTTATTTTGATTCAGGAAAAGGGTGTGATCCTGCATTTAGATTTTCCTGGTCCAGGGCAACAATTGTCCCAAGCTTGATATTTGGATGGGGGCCCATTTGAAATGGTCAAATGAAAAGAAGGACTAGGGGTGACTTCCAGTATTTGAAGGGCTGTCACAGAGAAGAGGGAGTCAGTTGATTCTCCAAAGCATTTAACGGGCAGGACAAGAAGTAACGGAAGCAGAGGTGGGTTTCAGCAGGTTCTGACTAGTTCTGGAGAAGCGGTAATGGAAATTAGTTCGGAGAACCGGTAGTAAAATTCTGTCTGGCCCCGCCCCCATCTATTCTCTGCCTCCCAAGTCCCAGCTGATTGGGAGGAAATGGGGATTTTGCAGTATCCTTCCCCTGGATTGTGGAGGGAATGGAGATTTTACAGTATCCTTCCCCTGGAGTGGGCTGGGAATGGAGATTTTACAGTATCCTTCCCCTGGATTGTGGCGGGAATGGAGATTTTACAGTATCCTTCCCCTGGAGTGGGCTGAGAATGGAGATTTTACAGTATCTTTCCCCTGCCATGCCCACTAAGCCAAGTCACGCCCACCAAGCCAAGCCATGCCATGCCACGCCCACCAAGCCACGCTCGCAGAGCTGGTAGTAAAAAAATTTGAAACCCACCACTGAACGGAAGCTTATCAAGGAGAGATCCAACCTACAACTAAGGAGAAATTTCGGACAATAGGGACAATTAAATCAGTGGTGTGCACGCGCCATCAGTGGCGGTTTTCAAGATGAGATTGGACAGGCATTTGTCCGAAATGGTACATGATCTTCTGCTAGAGAAGAGGGCTGGACTAGAAGATCTCCAAAGTCCTTTCCAGCTGTTATTCTGATCTGTCACTCAGTATCTGAAATAATCAGATGGATCCACACCTTATATTTTAATGCCTCAGGACCAATCAGTTCATATACAAAATGAAGTGGAGTAGAGTGGAGTGAGGGGAAGGGAAGAGGAGAGGAGAGGAGAGGAGGAGAGGAGAGGAGAGGAGAAGAGAAGAGAAGAGAAGAGAAGAGAAGAGAAGAGAAGAGAAGAGAAGAGAAGAGAAGATTCTTTATTGGCCAAGTGTGATTGGACACACAAGGAATTTGTCTTAGGTGTATATGCTCTCAGTGTATGGAAGTATTTCACTAGTGCTAGTTGTCAACTCACAGCCATTAATTTAATCAAAGTTCAAAGTTAACAACAGCACTGCAAACAGTGACTTTTGACCAGTTCTCCTACTTACGACCACTGCAGCATCCCCATAGTCACATGATCGAACGTCAGGTGCTGCCAATCAGCATGTATTCATGATGGTTACAGCATCCTGGGGTTGGATTGGATTGTCATTTGCAACCTTTCTAGGGTTGCAGCTTCTGATGAACAAAACCAATGGGAGAAGCCAGATTCGCTCAACGACCACGTGATTACACTCAACAACGATGGCAAAAGGTCATAAAATGGGGCACGGCTAAATTAAGAATGTTGCTTGCTTAGCAACTGAAATTTTGGGCTCAATTTGGTCCCTAAGTCAAGGACTACCTGTATGTGGGGCCTTCCTAAAAGCTTCTGTTGATTTGCCTATTGACATCCATAGACAACAAAATAAAAATTACATTGACATGGGATGAACTGAGGCAGAAGCCGGAGGGCGGGGGGCCTGAAATGACCCATTTGCCTCTGGACCTCTCAGGACTCTAAAATGAACGTGTCAACTTGCAAAGCTTTCAAGTTGCCATGAGCAGGAGGGAGGGAGAACTGATAGAGCTGATTGATTTCCCTAACTGAAGTGCATTCCATACATTCTTCCTGACCACAATCAGAAGGAGGGTGTTGGATTTCACAGCCAGCCAAAGTGGTTAATTGGAGAATGTGATTTATGACATGGCCAGAGAGGAGGGGAGAGACAGGGTCATAGGGGAACGTAAATCTACGTGGGATTAGTTCTAACTGCATCCGAATATTGCCGAAAGGGTGCTCCTAATAAATGACTGTATTTCTTTTGAAGTTCGGCTCATGGCTCATGAATTAATTAGGGCATCTTTCGGAAACTTCACAGAAGGCATGCCAAGGATACCTTTGGGGGGCTGGCAGAGCTTGGAGTGCTCGAACAAGCGTGTCTCTTGCAAAGGTAAGATCACGGCGTCTCGAAGTTCGCTGACCAGCTCATCTAAGCCTGCAACATCGTTCCAAGTGACCTGAAAATGAGAGAAGGTTATGAAGGGCTGAAATGAGAAAGTGGTTCTGAACCATTTAGTAAGAGCAGCTGGGTTCCAAACTGGGCCAAATCCAGAGGTGGGCTGCTGGGGGTTCGCAGGGGTTCGGGAGAACCTCTAGCTAAGATTCTGTGCAGTTCGGAGAACCCCCCCAAATCTCACTCCTGGCTGACAGTGAGAACAATCAACCCATGGAACAGAAGTTGCCTTCAGAAGTTGTGGGAGCTTCATCACTGGACGCTTTCAAGAAGAGACTTGGTGGTGACTTGAAATGGTGTAGGGTCTGCTGCTTGGGCGGGTGGGGGGAGGTTGGACTAGACCAGGGGTGGGCTTCAAAAATTTTAGCAAGGGCTTCTCTGCCTGGCTGCTGGATGGGCGTGGCCATGGTGGGCGTGGCATAGTCGGCCTCTTGTACCAAGGCAGAGGGGGCATTTTTGCCTTCCCTGGGCTCTGGAAGCTTATCTTGAGCCTCTGGGAGGACGAAAACGGCCTCCCCAGGCTCCAGAGGCCCTCTGGAGGCCAGAAACGGCCCCATTTCTGGCCTTCCCGAACTTCTGGTAGGCCCATTTTTCACCCTCCCCGAGCCTCTGTGCGTACCCTACACTTAACCTGCATCCAAAACAGGTTGCGTGGGGACTCCTGGGAGGGGCGGGGAGGGGTAGGCGGGGCCAGCCCGGAGTGGGATTTGGGGGTTCTCTGAACTGCACAGAATCTTAGCTAGAGGTTCTCCCGAACCCATGCGAACCTCCAGCAGCGAACTCCTGGACTAGATGACCTACAAAATCCCTTCCAACTCTGTTAATGTTAATCTGCTTTAAGGAAACTTTTCATGCTGTTGCCACCATCTTCTTTGAGTTTGCTCAGCAGCCAATCAAGGGCCAAATTGCTCTTTCCAGTTGAAACAGCTACCTGCAGATAGAATCGCAAGTCACCGTTGATGCTGGGCAGGAGTTCTACTTACCTTTACCACCTGTTCGCAACGGGATCGCGTTGCACAGATTGCTGCGCAGATCGCTGATGACGACATCCAGGGCAGTGGGCGGGGCCTCCTGCCGGTTTTACTACCGGTTCTTGCGAACCGGTCCAAACCGGGGGCAACCCACCACTGATGCTGGGACAAGGGAAGCAGCTATTCTCCCTCTTACCTTTATGTCCCTGGGAACCACCAAATGAGCGACAATGTTCATCTCGTGCTCCGTCAGCTTCAGCTTCTCTATTCCAATCTGCTTCATCAGGTCTTCTGCCTGTCCGAGGAGATCAAAAAAAGGGGAGGGGGGATTAAATTCAGGTATAATTTCAAGGTTGAAACCTGCTGTTTAGCTTGACGGGGCACTTTCGTTTTAATGAGCTGTAATTGCTGACTGGTACTATTACTATATTCAGCACAGGTGCCCAGTACAGGTTCAGAAAATGATTGTGGGTCTTCATAATAATGAGCACAAAAGAGATGCAATTAAAACTGGTCTAGTCAATTCTGCACGGTCACTGAGAAGCAAGCGGCTTTTTTAAAGCAGCATCAAACGGGCAATGAGAAGCAAGCACAATTATTTTGAGGAAATTATCCCAAATAGAATAGAAGAGAAATAGGAATAGGAATAGGAATAGGAATAGGAATAGGAATAGGAATAGGAATAGGAATAGGAATAGAATAGAATTCTTTATTGGCCAAGTGTGATTGGACACACAAGGAATTTGTCTTCAGTGCATATGCTCTCAGTGTACATAAAAGAAAAGATACATTCATCAAGAATCATAAGGTACAACACTCAATGAAAGTCACAGGGTACAAATAAGCAATCAAATCATACTAGGAAACAATAAAAACAGAATAGAATAGAATAGAATAGTATAGATAGAACAGAACAGAACAGAATAGAATAGAATAGAATAGAATAGAATAGAATAGAATAGAATAGAATAGAATAGAATAGAATAGAATAGAATAGAATAGAATTTTATTGGCCAAGTGTGATTAGACACACAAGGAATTTGTCTTCAGTGCATATGCTCTCAGTGTACATAAAAGAAAAGATACGTTCATCAAGAATCATCGCACCGTCATCGCTACCGGTTCTCTGAACCACCAGCCACAATAGCTACCGGATCGCCCGATCCGGTCCGAACCGGGAGGATTTCACCCCTGGTGTTCCTCACCCTGACCCAACATTCTAGCCAAATTGCCTGGGAATTTGTGGAACTCTAAGCTCATCGCTTCTAAATAGATCAGTCTGGGGGAAGGCTATTACAGAACGCTTCCATGCACAGACAGGAAGGCTGTGATAATTATTTCCTGGAGGGAAATGTTCCGTTGTGTTTTATCACCACATCCAGCATAGCACAAAGGGGGAATGCCCATGATCAGAGATGTTTTAGCCTGTTTTGCGCAGTAAGGGTTGAAAGAAATATTATCTCCTAGCAGGCTATCCATTCATTTCTCAACCTGATTCTTTTGCTAGATCTTGGGATTGTTGGTAATTTCCTTTGCAGTTTTGTTATGCAATATCTCACAGCATCTCTACAGTTCTGGCTCGGACAAAGCTAAATATGTCCCACCCTTCTCTGTTCCTATACATACCAAACTTCCAACTTTTCAACTGAGCTTCATCTCAGCTGTCACTACCTATGACTCAATGTAGACCATAATAGTTGAGTCGGTTCGATTCACTGGTCTTCAGCAGCAATAGCAATAGCACTTATATGCCGCTTCACAGTGCTTTTACAGCCGACTCTAAGTGCTTTACACAGTCATCCTATTGCCCCCAACAATTTGGGTCCTCATTTTACCCACCTTGGAAGGATGGAAGGCTGAGTCAACCTTGAGCCTGGTGAGATTCTAACTGGCAACTTGCAGGCAGACAGCAGACAGCAGGTGTAGCCTGCAGTACTGCACTCTAACCACTACGCCACCAGAATGAAGAATGAGAAAGGGAATAAGAGGGAGGGAGGGAGGGAGGAAGGAAGGATAGCAATAGTACTTGGACTTACAGTATATACCACTGTATAGTACTTTCCAGCCCTCTCTAAGCGGTTTACAGAGACAGCCTCTTGCCCCCAACAATCTGGATCCTCATTTTACCGACCTCAGAAGGATGGAAGGCTGAGTCAACCTTGAGCCTGGTGAGATTTGAACTGCCAAATTGCAGGCAGCTAGCAGTCAGCAGAAGTAACCTGCAGTACTGCACTCTAACCACTGTGCCATCGTGGCTCATAAGTAGATTGTTTTATGCTTCTAGTACCCATCACAATGTTTTTGCTTCTACTTTAAAAAAAAAAAATTAGAAAGGCAACTAAGGACACAGCAAATGAAAAGGAGTTTAAGAAGGACCAGTGATTTTGTTAGAACGTGTCAAAAATATTAGACCAATCAAGATTAAATAGCTTTAATTTAACCACGGGAACCCAGCTGCAAAACATACTTCTAGTACGTACTCTTTTCTTCAACTGGATTCTTTGCTTCTGGGCTGGGTCTAGGGCATCCGAGACCCACTTTATACTGAAGTAGGTGGTGGCTCCGAAGACAGCCACACGGAGAAGAACGAGGCAAGCTTCATTCCGTGTTAGGGGGCGAGTCAGGAAGTCCTTGGACAGTTCCCCCAGCAATATCTCCAAAGTGTTTCTAGCTCCCAAACTGGAACCTAGATTAAAAATTTAAAATGGTACGGAGATAGGAGAGGTTAGAATATAAAGATAAACTCCTGAACCCATTCATCAGCATTTAGTACTGCTGTTAAATTATGAAATTATAGAATCAAAATCTGTCAACTATAAAATGAGTGCAGGTCTCTACAGTAGTGGCCAAAATTGTTTTGGGAAAAGTGTATTTTTGGGGTTTGATGGCTAATAACACCACTTTTTTTGGAGGGGGGGAGTTTCAAGATAATCATATTCCGCTTCTGGAATGGCCTGGGAATAGCCCAGACCTTAACTCAATTGAAAATCTATGGAGCCGACTAAAGAAACTTGTTAGTCCAAAGCGACTCAGCAATAAAACCCAGTTAATGGAAGCAATCATTCAATCTTGGTTTCACATTATAACAGCTGCAGAATTAAAAGACTTGGTTCACTCCATGGGAAGACGTTGTAAGGCCGTCATTCATGCTGAAGGTTACCCAACTAAGGATTAACTGACATGGGGATGTTTTTTGTATATCTCCTTTTTTCTACATGTTTCACTTTTCTTCTTTATGCTGTAACTGCTATTCTAATACGAAATCCTTCATAAAAGGTATTGCATTACATTCTTGGTTAAATTATCTTTCCATTGATATATAATTTTATGCTACTACTCCAAAAAAAGTGGTGTTATTAGCTAGTTTTAGAAAATACACTTTTCCCAAAAGGTTTCCACAATTTTGGCCACTACTGTATCTAGAGCAGGGATGTCAAACTTGTGTCATCATGTCAGAGTCACGTGACGTATTGGGACTTTTTTCCCCGTCGCTAAACCGGGCGTGGGCGTGGCCAGCGCTTGACGCATCTGGCCCGCGCGTCACAAGTTTGACAGCCCTGATCTAAAGTACTTTGGATCATGCAATATAAATTCTTCAATTGTATCTTTGCCAATAACATAGTCCCATGCTATAACGACAGGAAAATGAATAATCGCTCACAGGTAGAGTGTGTATGTTATATGGAAAAAATCCCAGATTACACTCTTAGAACTTCCAAATAAGATTTGGATTTTCTGTCTAAAATCTTTCAGGGTTGTAGTCAAGTCACTAAAATTGAGCTAGATATAGTTTGCTCCACGTAAGGCAGTCCTCACTGCTTGTGTTCTCACAATACTCCAAAATAACAATGTTGGTTTGATATGTAAGCCACAAAATAGCCAACCATATTTCAGCCTAACATGTTGAAACAGTTTACATTTCTAATTGTGGTTATGTAAAAATTATGCTATATCATCATCATCATCATCATCTAGACCAGGGGTCTCCAACCTTGGCAACTATAAGACTTGTGGACTTCAAGTCCCAGAATTCCCAATGCCTGCACCAGGAAACTGTGCTATTCCCATGTTGGGACTGGTTGGCTTTAACGTTTTGCTGGAAGCAAATAACCGAAGCTTGCAAATTTATACTCTTTTTGCAATAAATAGAGAAGCTGCTTGTGGATTTATGTAAAAAAAATAATAACAATAATCATTTTAAAAACACCCAGTGGCTTAGCATAGTCGGAGAATTGACGCAAGCGGTATGACAGGATGCTTCCCCCCCATGTGACCTCCAAACAGGGACATCCTCGGAGGAAGGGAAGGGAGGATTGGAAGGCGAGGCATCCTGTTTTAATGGAGATCTCGGGTCTCTGTGTGTGTGTGTGTGTGCAATCTTGTGGCGAATCGGGAGGGACACTCTTTAAAGCCGATAATCCCGGGGACCTGCTGTTTTGCTCCCCAGATTATTTGGTCCCCAAATTATTGGCCTTAATTTGTCCCTCCCGGTTCGCAACAAGACTTGTAACACGTCGTACCGGCAGGAGAACGGGCGGCTTCTGTCGCTGACCATGGTGCTGAAAAAGGCTGGGATGAGGGCGCAGCGCGCAGCGCCTTCCCCAAAAGAACGAGACTCACCCATCCGTCGCTCTCGCCGCCTCTCCAGTCGGCTAAACTCCTCGCGCAGAAAGAAACAAGAGCCGTGGGGGGAAAAAAATCCTTCCTACTTCACTGCTCCTGACTTCTGCGCATGATGGTGGAGCTTGAAATCAAACGGTTGGCTGCCAATGAATGGAGCAACCTAGCTAAGGCTGAGCGCCAAAGAATTGAGGCTTTTGAACTCTGGTGCTGGAGAAGACTCCTGCGAGTCCCTTGGACCGCAAGGCCATCCAACTGGTCAGTCCTAGAGGAGATCAACCCTGACTGCTCTTTAGAAGGCCAGATCCTGAAGAGGAAACTCAAATACTTTGGCCACCTGATGAGAAGGAAGGACTCGCTGGAGAAGAGCTGGAAAAGATTGAGGGCAAAAGAAGAAGGGGACGGCAGAGAATGAGGTGGCTGGATGGAGTCACTGAAGCAGTCGGCGTGAGCTTAAATGGACTCCAGAGGATGGTAGAGGACAGGAAGGCCTGGAGGAACGTTGTCCATGGGGCCGCGATGGGTCAGACACAACTTCACAACTAACAACAACAACAATATATTTTAAGTTATTATGCTGGAGTTGGGGGATTTTAAAGCTAGAAACCACAGATGGGAACTGCAGCCAAGAAATTAAAAGACGCTTTGTCCTGGGGAGGAAAGCTATGGCAAATCTAGACAGCATACAAAAAAGCAGAGACATCACTCTGCCAACAGAAGTGTGTATAGTCAAGGCTATGGTTTTCCCAGTTGCAATGTCTGGCTGTGAAAGTTGGACCATAAGAAAGGCTGAGCGTCAAAGAATGGAGGCCTTGGAACTCTGGTGCTGGAGAAGACTCCTGCGAGTCCCTTGGCCTGCAAGGCGATCCAACCGGTCAGTCCTAGAGGAGATCAACCCTGACTGTTCTTTAGAAGGCCAGATCCTGAAGAGGAAACTCAAATACTTTGGCCACCTAATGAGAAGGAAGGACTCCCTGGAGAAGAGCCTAATGCTGGGAACGATGGAGGGCAAAAGAAGAAGGGGACGGCAGAGAACGAGGTGGCTGGATGGAATCACGGAAGCAGTCGTCGTGAGCTTAAATGGACTCCAGAAGATGGTAGAGGACAGGAAGGCCTGGAGGAACGTTGTCCATGGGGTCGCGATGGGTCGGATACGACTTCGCAACTAACAGCAACAGGTAAGGCTAGAGCTGAGTTTTGCTTTGGGGTTTTAACACGCGCCCCCGGTTTTAAGAAACAAAATGTCATGTTAAAATCGAAATTCAGCCCAGAGATGTATTATTTATTTATTCAATTTATATCCTGCCCTTCTCCAAGTGGACTCAGGGCGGTGCACAGCCAGAACGAAAACACATACCAATTCAAAATTTAATTTTTTTTAAAAAAAGAATTATATGACTTTGGCCCAAAATTTAAAACATTCAAACTAAAACCTATTGACAATTTAAAAAGCTAAAAAAATCTCCCTCTCTGGACTGTTTATCTGACTGCCCTTGTGTAGAAAATATCTCCTACCATCGGGCAGGAGATATAGAAGCATAGCCAGCCGAACGAATAGGCCGAAAAATAGCTTTGATCCGTGGGCCGTCAGACTTCTGAACGCAACATAACACCACAATTAGGTTTAATATGATAGACTTGCAGGGCCAGTGCAAGTGCAACATGTTCATCCTGGTGTAATATAATATAATGTTATATATGTATGTATATGGGGATGTGTGCTAGTTATTACTTATTTGGGTTTAGGGATTTCTTTTTCCTTTTATTTATTGAGTTATTGAGATAATATTCTGTGTTTCAGGGGTGGGCAGCTGTATCAAGGGAGGGTCATTCAACCTCATTATACACATGTGCATTGAGAATAAAGGTTTGATTTGAAAATGCATATGCTGGTCTGTATGTCGGGTGTATGGGAAGCCCCTAACAAGGCACATCTATTTATGTTAATTCAGAAGGAAGAATTCAGCAGGATTTACTCCCAAGTTCTTCACTAAAGGTATCTTAGTTGAGGAACATTTCAATCTGAAGTAACTTTATCAAGTTCAGTGGGACTTTTATAGCCAGAGAGTCCTATCTGTATTGTACAGATAAGCTGTGAAGGTTGAAATCTTATTTACCTGAGAATATGTGTCGCTGAACCAAACAGAATTCAAGTGCACTCATTATTTCAGCTGATGATATCTTGCAGATTAATTTGAGACCCTGTAGGGAAGAAGCCTACATGCAGGGAGAATGCTTTGAGATACAAAGCATTCTTCAGACACAATCTTCTTTTTTGGGGCTACCAGATCTGAGTTGCAAGAATCCAGATGACTAAATGGCAGACATGTCAGAGTATTTTCTTTTTAATGTCTTTGTTGCTATTTAAAGATTGCCTGAGTTTTTGCAATCTGGCTTTGCACATTGGTTGCCAGTTTTTGTTATTTGAGTTTGCTGTCAGCGTTTCTGCTTACACAGTCATATACTTGGCAGTCGAGTAATTCAGATTCATAATCACCCTGGCCTAAGAAATTAAGTTACTCTAGGATAATTGATTCTTCAACTTGGGCGACTTTCAGTAAGATAAGTTATTTCTCTGCAATGGCATCCATAGCAAGGTAAAATGCCTTATTGGTGCCACATATGGAATGGCATCAAATATTTGTCCCTACATTTTTTTTCTTTGCATCATATTTTTTTTTTTAAATTTGATTTATATGCCGCCCTTCTCCGGAGACTCAGGGCGGCTTACAATGCGTTAAGCAATATATATCTGTTGCATCACCACCACCCCTCTCCTGGGAGGGGGCCCTTCAGTTTCTGGATGTGACTTCTTTGTCACTGGTTTTAAAAAGTGTTGGGAGTGAAGTTGGAGTTGCCTCCCAAGGTCCAGCTTATCGGGAAGAAATGGGGATTTTGCAGTAACCTTCCCCTGGATTAGGATGGGAATGGACATTTTACAGTATCCTTCCCCTGGAGTGGGGTGGTAATGGAGATTTTACAGTATCCCTCCCCTGCCACGCCCACCAAGCTATGCCCGCCCATCAAGCTATGCCACGCCCACCAAGTCATACCCATAGAACCGGTAGTAAAAATTTTTGAAACCCTCTGCTGGGTGTAACACGCATTCCTAGGTATGTGAAATGAAATTGAAGCACTGCCCCTTTAAGTATGCACAAAGACAGTAAAAAAAGAGAATTGCACAGTCATGGCCACCATCTTAACTTTTTTGACAGAGAGAGAGAGAGGTCTGCCTTGGTTTCTTGTAGCATTGAGAAACCATTAAATATTTTAACAAATTCCACACAACCTGGTTCATTTAGCCCATAATGCACTCACCCACGGAGATACATAAAAGATTCTCTAGAAATATTAAACCTGGGTTCATTGATTGCACTAAGTCATGGCTCATTTATCCACATTTTATTCTTTAATTTACAACTGCCTGAGCTTTACACCCTGAGCCAAAAGCAAACAAGCCACGATTGTGGCTTGTTTGTTGCAAAAGGTGGGGATCCCTGTTCAAACTGGCAATGAAAACCTAAATGAACAATACAAAGTATAGAGACAGCCTAGTACATTTACAAATCTGAATGTCCACCTGCCGTATTTATTGTTTGTTTTTTTATTTTAAATCCCTAGATATTTGCATATAGTCAAAGATTAAACGTTGTACCATGTGGAGAGGTTGCTTCAGTTTCTGCTCATTGATTGGAACAGAATTTGAGTGATGCCTACCCTAAATGCTGAAAGTGGATAATTAAAAAAAAAAGCAAAACAAATGTGAACAAATCTGTGGGGTCCTTGTGCTCTCTGAGCATGGTTGTTTCCTGCAGACCTTTCACTACCCAACTAGGCAACATAATCAGTGCACATGTTACGACGTTACAATTTAATTATTTGCAGAAGCCAAAGACATGCCTTGCAAACCAGACCACAGGGACAGCGAAGAAGGCTGCAAATGATCGTCTTATAAAACCTATGGTAGCTTGATGACTGCCCGGTATTATCTAGTCGGTAAAATGAACCGTCTGCAAGCAAATAAATTAAATTAAATTAAATTAAATTAAATTAAATTAAATTAAATTAAAATTAAATTAAATTAAATTAAATTAAATTAAATTAAATAAATTAAATTAAATTAAATTAAATTAAATAATTAAATTAAATTAAATTAAATTAAATTAAATTAAATAAATTTAAAAACCAGGCATACAGAGGACCAAGTACCCCACAGTTCAACCTGGAGCTACAAATATTCTTTTGTATAGTCTTGAGCGTTTGCAGAATAAAAAGTGGTTTAAGCTGTTGCTTCTGTAAAAGAATAACAGTGTCACCAGTCTTGGACACATCAAACAACCCAACTTCCCTCAACAAGGCGAACTCAAGCAATAGACTTCATTTCCCACCCACCCCCTCAAATCGAAACTCTGCGCATGCTCAGAACAGCCACCGCGAAAAAAAAAGCGCCTCTTTGGAACAACGGCCGCACTCCCCGGGCACGCTTCTGCAACTTTCCTTCCTCTCATGAATGGACCGTACCATTAAAGAGAGGTTCGGGGGAAGGCAGAGTAATGGGTTAAGGATTAGTCGAGCATCCTTACTACAATAAATCCAGGTAAATAATAATAATAAAAAAATATTTCTCCCAAGGGAGGCCAACGCAGTCGGTTCGAGTAAGGATTATTTCGCCTGCCCCCTCCCCCCCCCAAGCTGTGATCAGACTTGGACGGCTCCAAAAGGGAGGCGGGCGCCGAACGCGAGACCTCCTCCAATAGCAGGGCGGGACGGTGGAGTGGCGGGGGCCGCACCTAATGAGCGGCCGGAGGAGAGGCGTGAAGGTGCGGCTCGCGCACGAGGCGAGGCGGCGTGGCGTGGCGTGAGCTGTGGGGGAGGGGAGAGGAGGGGGCTTCTTCCCTGGCTGAGGGGGGGGAGTTGGGCCTCGCGCCAGGCCTAAAGCAGCGGCGGCCTCTGAGGCGTCCGACAAGGAGTAACGGATGGAAACTCAAAAGTAGAGATCCAACCTAGAACTAAAGGAGAAATTTCCTGACGGTGAGAACAATTCATCAGGGGAAGGAAGTTGTGGATGCTCCATCACTGCATCTTTTCAAGAAAAAAAAAAATATTGGAAAGCCAATTTGATTGAAATGGTATGTAGGGCGTATTGCTTGAGCAAGGGGTTGGATGAGAAGACCTCCAAGGTCCCTTCCAATTCTGCTATTCTCTATTCCACGAAGCCCCAAGCTCACCAGATATTGCTGGGGTCCCGATTCAATCCCACCAGCTGGGAGAGAAGAGCTGGACTGTGAAAGGCAGCAGGT